GAAACATCATCTACTGCTGGGGGATTGTCCATTGCCATGTTTGATTAGCAGAGGGGAATTGAAATCACCAGCAATATGGGGGTATTTGATATTAGGGAGAAAGGATTAATTTGCTGGATCACCCCAAAATCGAGTTGCTTTTCTTTATTTGACAAATTGCGAACTGGAAGCCATGGCCCATTTAGCTAGAAGATTTATGATGGTTTACCTGATTTCCCAGCAATGATCCAGTGATGTTGAATCAAACTTCAACCCGGGATGATGTTGTAAAAGCAAGTTTATAATTATAGTTGGCTGTCAGGAATTATAGTTTGTAATTATCGTTTCTAATTATTGTATAAATGGGAATTCCAATTTTACATCATTCCCAAAATCAATAAACTGAGAATAACTGGGAGTTGCTTAGATTGAGGTTTTTTGATGGTTAACATTTGAAAGGAAATTGGAGGTGGTCGAATTATGTATCTTCTTGTCGGATCAAAATCCCTTGTTTTGGCCAAGAACATCACGCCTGTAAATGGAATCTGGAGGGGTGGAATATGGTGGAAATCCTTGTGTTTTCCTTCATGTTTGTTCACCCCAGCCATACAAGAATCGTACAATGTCAGAAGCTATGGAAGAATCTAGCAATCCTTTAAAATTGTAAAAGGGAGAAAAGTAAAATCTATGTGGTTTTTATGAATCCCTGTCTGCATAAAATGATATAAAATGCCCCACAAAGCCTGGTTTAGTTACTGGATTTCTTCATTTTGAGGGCCCACTTCGCGGTGGATGGAACTTGTCGATGGTGGCCTGGTCCAGGAAACCTCCGAGAAGGCCAAAGCACAGGCGCCCGAAAGATTCGCGGCGGCGGGAAATAGGTTGACTTGATTTCATCTATGTTACCCGGCCTGGTAAACATACCAAAAACTATGGAAAATCACCATTTTCAATAGGAAATTCCACTATTTCTATGGAAAATCCACTATAAACTATGGAAAATCACCATGTTTTAATGGGAAAACTCACTATTTCTATGGCCATGTTCACTAGCTATGTTAAATTACCAGAGGGTAGTTCATATAAATAGATGAATGATTATGATTTGTCAATATGCATTAAATACTTAAATCTTAATAGTTAAATGATACATATAGTAGATTGGATTTCAGTGAATACTGTAGATGCATGATTATGATGGATTTAACTCCCCTATCAAACAGTTATCATCAGCGATTTCTGCCATGCTTTTCGCTACCGACTGGGCCAACTCCACAGAGGTCCTTTGGCAAATCTAATGGCAAATGTCGTGTGATTTTCTGGCTGAACACACGGTCAATTTGTAGCTATACATGGAGCAATCTTGTATGTCAAGAATGATTGCTGGTTGGTGGTCTGGAACAATCTTTTTTTTTCCCATATATTGGGAATTTCATCATCCAAACTGACGAACTCCATCATTTTTCAGAGGGGTTAGCAGCAACCACCAACCCGATTATCATCCCATTATTAGCCACTATTAAGCCACTATTAACCCATTATTAACCACTATTAACCAGCAAATCCCACAGAGAATGCCATCGATGTTCAGCAGATTTTCCCATGGGATCAGCAGGCATCACTTGTTTGGAGCAAGTTGAAGCTCGGAGCGGCTGGGGCCGGGCAGCCAGGGGGTTGGGGCAAAGGTTGGAAGCTGGGTGCACTTACTGGGTGATAATATGTATATATATATATTCATTTACCTTTACACATATGTATCTATATATATACATGTGTATACATATATATATATATAGATGCTAACAGTTTCAACAGAAAGCCCAAACAATATGATTTGGCAATCTAAGATATGAATAATAAAAGTTGATGGTCTGATGGTTGGAAAGAAAAATGATTCGAATGAAAAGGTGCTTTGGAGCCGCAGGAAGCGAGATTGAAGTCATGTCAATGTGAATCTAAGCCATGTAAGCGGAGAGGTATGAATCTGGTAGAACATCACCACACCATCACAATAACAGTCATCGTTATCCCACATTGTCATTGATGAAGTTGCTGCTGTCCGTTCCTCCCATTTAAGCCTCAAGACGAAACTGATAGTTCATCAGGGAAATCATCATGAAATTCATGAAGTGACAAGAAGAAAAGAGATTTCCGAAATCATGAATTTGCGCGACGTGATTTGGTTAGAATCAGAACCATCAATCATGAATTACTGTATTGTCATTAGACATTGATCGTTGTGATTTATGCGCAATCCCCAAAAAGATGCAGCTTAGAAGTTTCAATTCAACCACCACTTTGGACCACCGGATTTTACATCATTTTACCACCTTTGAGGTTTTTTGGGGTGGGAGTTATACCAGTTATACCCAGATGATGGCTCAAATCCCGATTTCCCCAGGCGGCAGCTGAGAAGGGCGCCATTTACATCGGCCACGGCGTCCTGGATTCGTTGCTCAACTACCTGGGCACCTTGGCGACGGGACCGCAGGAGAAGCTATGAAGCATCTACCCTCTGGTTATGACTAACATAGCCATGGTATAGATGGCCCATAGAAATAGATGGTTTACCGTTCTTAATAGCATGGTGGATCTTTCCATGGCGAACTGCTAAATAACCAGATGGTACGTATTGGGGTAGCCAATTGTGACTCACATACATATGGTTTGAATAGTGATTCAACCATCATTGATGGGATTGTTAACCATCCAAGATGGGAATATATTATATGTCTTATTGATAAATGATGGTTGGTTGTTGATGATGTTGTTGAAATCAGCATCAAACGATGGAGATATCGTTGGGATAGAGTTGATAAATGATGCTTGGCCGATGAGATGATTAGTTTGGGTGACATACTACATATACTACCCAATATCATCGAAAATCACACAATCCCTGAACGGGGGGAATCCCGCTCTCAACTAACTAGCCTAAAGGGACGACACGGGGTTTTGAACACTGTTCATGTGGTGCAGCCCATCAATACTGTAGATTGTGATGCCATGGAAAATTGTGATTGAGCTGGGTATGGGTTGAAGCCACCAAGCAGCTTGCTTCACTCTCGAGGTTTGACTGCTGTCTGGATGAAGAACGGCGGCCCCAAAAAGATTGCGAGAGTCAAAACCATCCCCTCAAAAATAGCGAGAAAAACTGGATTTGCCGAAGACCATTTCGTTCCCTTTGCTGCACCATTTGGGAAACCGGGAAACTGTGGCCCCCAAAGGAAAACACCCATCAATACGACAATTCCTCTCGCATGTTGGTTCAGAATCCTGGAGAAGACAGGGTTCATGGCTGCCATGGCTGCCACATGTTTGCCGGGTTTAGATGTGGATTCATCACCTATCATGCACAATATGCTCACAACCTTGCAAGAATTATCACGATCTCTTTCGCAACCATTTTTAACCATTTGTCAAACTGAGGCTATCAGTGTTTAAATCATTATCATTTTGTAATTAATCAATATCATTATATAATTATTATATCATTAATCATTATCATGTTATCATTATCATTACAAAATCTATAATTATTATGACATCTAGCATTAATCATTTTCATTGTCATTATATAGTTATTATATTATTAGTCATTATCACTATCATCATCATTATATAATTATTGTATCGCTAGTCATTATTATCTTTACCATTATATATTGATTATATCATTAATCATTGTCATTATATGTATAAAGTTATTAAACTATGTTATCATGAATCATTGTCATTATAATTATCATGTTATAATTATTATATCACTAATCATTAATCCTTATCATTATCCTGATCATGTTTATAGCGATTATATCATTAATCAGACTAATCATTAATCATTAATCATTAATCATTAGTCATTCTCATTATCATTATCATTCTCATTATCATTATAATTATTTAATTATACATTTATTTTTTAATTAATTAATTATTATATCATTAATCATTATCATTATCGTTATCATTATTTAAGTTAATATATCATTATCATTTTATATATATATATATATACATAATATCCATTGCAACCATCCAGATTGGCTCGCTTGGGCCTTGCCATGCTTTGCCCCCACATCTTTTCCCATGGCGATCTGGCAAGGCACCTTGTGGGTGGGCAATGCCGGGAAGGTGGTGGAAAAGGTGGTGGAGGCTGCGGGTTTTCATCAGTCGCTTTCGGTCGTCCAGTCACCATTTGGTGCTGGAAAAGCTGAGTGATTTGTGGTGGTGAACTATCCATTTTGTTGGTGGATTCTTAGTGATGTTCGAATATTCTTGTGACATTATCTGGTTGGTGGTTTGGAATATGAATTTTATTTTCCATTTCATATGGGATAATCCTTCCCATTGACTAATAGTTTTCAAGATGGTTGAAACCACCAACCAGTTATGACATTGATCTGACTTGAGGGTCTATGGGTGTTCTCCTCGGGTGCAAATAAGATGATTTGATCGTCGGACTGCACCAAGGTGTTTTGACATCTCCAGTTTAATGATGTGTGTTTGTATCTACATTATTACCATGTACATAAGACATACATTGTTACATACATACATATATATATAATTATATATATATGTAATGTATGTTTATATATATATATGTTTACTTACCCTGCATAGGCCATGAACGGCCAAGTAGGGTTCCATGCTCAACGCTCACCATTGGCTCCAGGCACTTCAATAAGTTCCATGCACTATCGGCACAATAGGCCGCTAGGAGTCGTGCAGTCGAAGAAGTGGTGATTCTTATGGACCAGGTTTTGAAGCTCAACTGGATCCTCAAAATGCGCAGCATGTTGGAAAAAAAATCAGGATTTCCACCAGAATTCCACTGTTTTTTGTTCAGTCAACATGAACCTTAGAGAAACAACCAATAGTTCCACCATCTTCTATTGCCATGATTGTGTTCATCTTCATTCTATCCCTGGCCAAATGATACTATAACTAGACTATAACTACTACAATACAACCATGGTATCCCCAGTCCCCATGGGTTCCTTGGATGTGTAGCCTTCCAAAAGCCCCAACATTTCGCACATGGCGACCATGGACCTCCCGGTCGCGGCTCCGTCGGCGAACGCGTCGAACGCGTCGAACGCGAAGCCGCGGCGCCGGAGAGTATGGTTTCTGGTGCCTTGGAAGCGGACCGAAACTCGGGATACCAACGGTGGAAGGTTTGTCATGTTTATCCCCTGGTAAACATACAAAAAACTATGGAAAGTCACCATTTTAAATGGGAAAATCCACTATTTCTATGGCCATTTTCAATAGCTATTTTGACATAACCAGAGGGTATCCCCTTCTTGAGTTCCAATGAGGTTCAGTGGTTGGCGATATCACCCGAAATCACTGGTCCCTGGCCAAGTCCACAAACTGATTCTTGATGAAAGCAACAAAAACTCCAAGAAACAAGCCCCCCCTGGATTTTTGGTGAATATGATGCCATGGGAAAATCAACATCAACCTCATCGAACAACATCTCCCTTTCTCAAATTACTGGAATGATTTTCCCAGCGAATGTTTGATGACCCTCTGGTAAACTGACCAAAAACGATGGAAAATCACCATGTTTAATGATTTTAATGGGTAAATCCACTATTTCTATCTATTTCGACTGGACCATTTTCAATAGCTCAGGTCATAGGACTCATGCTGTTTTTCTGGATCCTTCCCACCATGCGACGCTTCTGCTACCTGTCGCTGGTCTGGACCCCTGCCTTGCTCTGGCGGAGCCCTGGCACGGTGGTCTTCGGATTGAGCCTTGGACCATTGGATGGACCTTGGGAGGAAGTTAGAAATGTGGACCCAAAAACCGCTGGGAATTCGCTGGTAAAAATTAGGAATGAAGATGAATGAAGCAACCAAACTGATGATTTATTTTAGTGATTTTTTGTGATTTGGGATATTAGTGGTTGTGGGGTTGTCAAACTAGGGTGTATTAACTTATATGTGATTTGGGATATGTGACTAGGGTGGGCATAGTGACTATTTTCACTTTGGGATTCAATAAGTTTACGGCTAGCTGAGAGAAACGGAAGCTTAACCATAATAGTGGGTTGGCTTTCTACCAGTGAAATTGGGCGAAAGATGAATACTTATCTGGGTAATTGGGGTTGGTCCGAGAATCTTGTATTTAGTGAGATTTTAATGGGAATAATGGTGAATAGTGGAGATAGAATGTGGGATACAACCAACAATATGATATCTGGGTGGTGTTAATGTAGAAAATGATCATCAACCACTGGACTTTAGGGGTACCCAATTCTTCAGCAAGCCTGTGTAATTATGTAATGATAGTTTATAGGCAGGGAATCGTTCCACAGCGATAGGTTTAGGAATATCCCAGCAGAAATGCTGGCTTATACATGTGGAACTTCCCCACCATCACACATGTCAGGTCGGTGAATGATACTGCAGCCTGTGAGCTGTCGCAAGTTGTCTAGAAACCGTTTGCCGTTTGGACCGCTTGGTGCCATGTGGGGTATACATCACGGTGAATGAGACACGTTAATGTATAAGAGATATCATGTTTCGATGTGCGCGGAAACATGTTATCAGTTTTCAGCGTAGTGCACATACTGAATGTGCATGCGTGCAGGCGTGCGTACATACATCACATGCAGTACATTGCATCACGTTGCAATTATATATATATATATTATACATACATGCCTTGAGACATTTGAGATGTATGTGTCAGATGTATGTCAGGTGTATTTTTTTTTGGTATATGTACAATGTGCCTCCATAGTTTCTGGTTGGTGGTTTGGAACATTTTTCCATATATTGGGAATAGTAATCCCAAGTGACGAACTCATATTTTTCAAGATGGTTAAAACCACCAACCAGGTTTGTAACGATGAGTTTTTTTTGAGTGTCCCGAGGCAATGGAGTGGCCCTGTTTTTATCAAGCTTGGGCAGTGGCTCTCGACTCGTCGCGACATCATCCCAAGCCACTTTTTGTTGGCGAAATCCCCCCGGAGTCGGAGAGATTTTGACGGGGGAAATTCTCCAAGCCCTGTTCTGGTTGGTTAATAGTGGTTTTCATAGGCTATAAACCAACAATGGGAATATGATGATATATACTGGTTGGTGGTTTGGAACATGTGTAAAAATATCCCCTTCCTAGTTGGGATGATGATCCAATCTGACGAACTCATATTTTTCAGGGGGGTTGAAACCACCAATTAGTATTTTTTTGGGAGTGAATTGTAGCCACTTTGGGGGGTGTTAAATTGGTCATTTGACTTCTGAATAGTTAGCAAGAGCCCCCCCCCTTTTTGTATCTGGGGCAGAGGGGTATGAAAAAGGCACAACAGAATCCAGGGAGGACGAAATCTGGGCAAAGATCACAAACTTCACAACGACCTCATTCAAAGTTGTGGTTACTAAAGGGAATCATACCAAGCATGGCTTATTCAAGGAAAGAGGCTTACTTCCACTTCAGGAAGAAAGTCCATAGAAGCCCCCTTTCTGAAGGGTGACCCCAATATGGATGGATTCACTCAATTTCACCGTTTAATTTCTGGGAAGTGGTTATCCTTAACGGATTAAACCTGTCCAAGTAACGTCCCTTCGATAAATGGCTGCTCTAGAGTTCATAAAGTTGTTTCATGACCTCAGAACATATTGCAAGAACAACAACCCAACTAGGGCAAGATCATCTCCAGCAAGATCCAAGAGATGCACTGCCCTGACAGTGATGCATTAGAAGAGATGCAGACAGCAGACTGGATTGTAATGATAAAGGGTGATAAAATGTGATAGCAACATTTTTAGAAGCCAAACTCCAGAAGCCGGTTCCAACGGCTAGCTGTGGCGCCCCACAGCCTGGCTGGGTCTGAAGTGGGTCACTCCCAGTGATGACCCATTGGCATAAGCCTACCATGTGGGAATGGGTGTTTACCAACCATTTTTGATTACCTTCCGGATGGTTTGTTGTCGAGTTTATCACATTACCTTAGAACCGATTTCTTAATGAATTCTGAGTGTACATAACCAAGCCCACCGGGCAATCATCACACATCACCAGCGCATTCTCTAGCCACCAGACAACCAATTCATCAATATTGACCGGTTACCGGCCATGGATTCGCCATGCACCAATAAGTTCTCAAATTCAGAGACCCTCTCATTCTAAATCGTGATTTGGGTACGTATATAGTATATATATATATAATAGTTTAGTAATGATTGTGTACATGAAATAATCTCCCAATGGGGATGCTCAGGCAACAATTGGACTTTAGCTGAAGCATCTACCTCGACTTTGGCAGTTCTCCGCCAAGCCACCAAAGTCTCCATAGATTTCGACATGTCACAGGAAACCTCCATGTTCGATGGTAAAACACCTTCAGGTTTCCTGTACATGTTCCCTTAGCTGGATCAACCTTGGGTAGGTCCTTATTAGTTTAATATGTTCATTTTGAGCTATGGAAAGATATTGACCTCGCCAGCTAAAGTTCAAGGTTTTGGGATGGGCCATGTAAGCTCCATTCAAAGTAATTCTATTGATCATCAGAAAATCATCAGAAAATACCTCAAAATCATATTATGTTTTCTATAGTTATGTAACTATATACTATATAGTATGTATATATATACATATGTTACCCTCTGGTTATTTAACATAGCCATGCTGCATATTTGCTGGCCACAAGTGCAGTTCAGGTGCACCAAAGTCCTGAAAGTCCCACCTCCCAGGCGATATTTGCGACGCCATGGGCGAACTGCACGAGCACGTGCCCGCCAGCGGCGCCAAGCGGGACGTGAGATGCTCGTCTTATGTGATAGAAAATGATGTGTTAGGGGAGGATGAGGATGAGGAGGATGATGATGATGATGATGGTTAAGCATGGTTAGGCATGGTTAACAATTGTTAACAATTGTTAATAGTAGCTAATATTGGTTGATATTGGTTTGTATTGGATATTTTACGGGATTTACCCTCCGCCAATCAAACATGGCAATAGGAGAATCCCTATGAATGCAGGTTGTTATGGGAGAATCATCCAATTTTTTATGCTTTTTCAGTTGCCATGTTTGATTTCCCGAGGGCAACTATGGCCCCATTTAGCTTGTGTTTACACTGGTGAACACCTTTTGTTTTGTCATGCAACTGGTTCATTCATGTGACTGTCGAGCACAGTCAAGTGGTTTATCAGCATGTTCCCCAGATAGCCATTTATTGGTGGCAAACCGTCCATTTTCAGAGGCAAACCCATATTTGTTTTGTGAATATCTCCATGTTTGGTGGTTTAGTAGCCAGTTTTCTGATGGTTAATTGTTGCCGTTGAATGATTAGCCAATAGATGGGCTGGGATTCTTAACGACATACTCAGGCATGGGTCAAACATGGGTGCCTCAAAATTATACCCAGCTAACCGGCACGACAGTACTTGTACTTGTACCGGAATTTCTACTAAATTACTAAATGGAATCCCCGCGCTAAATCCATATTTGAAGGTTCAATCCTAATCTTTGTTGTTTTTACATTCCCCAATAGTGATTTGTTCTCTTTGCTTGCTGGTCAGATCACCATGTTCCCCCAGGACATGCAGTGACACAGATCCCTCAACTAGAGCCTCTGGGCAGCAAGCGTTGGGTCAAAAGAATTCTGCGCAGAATGTCCAATACTGTAACTAAATTCTGGATTTAAGCAGGATGAACAACAAGGAAGGAGATGTAGCACATTACTTGCTCAAAAATGCAGCTAAAACTCATATATATATATATATACATATATATATATATTTACATAGTGTCATATACGGTTCAAAGCCTAGGTACAGGCTCTAGGGAACCGGCATGTGCAATTTGTATAGCTCGGTTTGCTCAAGGGATTGTTGTTCTCAAATAAAAAATCCACCATTATGGTGAATTTCTCATTGTATACGTATCCATTTCTACTGTTTTCTGAGCCTCATATGGTTTCCAGTGTTGGTGACAAACCCACAAGTCACTGCCTTGCTGGTGACATGCCTATGTTTGCTGCCCTACAAGTTTGTTGAAAATCATCTGCATTCCCCTTCCCGGCCCCTGGCAACGTAATGGGGAAAATAATGATAATTGATTGGAGGGGATACCCTATTTCCAGACAAGGTCCAATATCCCCAGTTCATGTTCCAATTTTAGGGTGACACCTCCCTTGCGCAATTCAAAATAGTTCAATACTTCATGCCCAAAAATAGCCCAAAATTGTGGTAAGTCTCAAAGATTCTCCAAGACCATAGAATTGGCTCGCTACACTTGGGTGGAAGCCGCGGCACCCTGGTGAACATCAAAATATGGTTTTTCAGTTATGTTCATCCCCCAGCATGTATGGAAAAACAACGGTTTTAACCCATCCCCATTGGGGGGTAAAACTATAATGTCAACCCTGGATTAATAAACCCCAAACGGCTGGTTAATTGGGGGGGTACCATAAAAAAGTATTGGATGAAATGACTATTGGAGGAGTACCCCCTAATTTTCATAAACCATGGTTTAGCAAAATCCGGGGTTGACATTAGGTTAACGTTTGGTTTATTGCGGATATCACCTCGAGATACCGACTGTACTTAACAGGATTTACAATAATCCAGGGTTGATGTAAATCACATTAATTAATTAATTATAAATCATCTATATTTCATCTATATTACAGCATTTATAATCCCATTTACATTAATCAAATAATCCCATTCAATCCCACGAACAAAAATCCCCATTTCATTCATCTATAAAAAAAAAACATTCGAACCCCATCTTTGGATGGTTTCCCATCATTAAATTAATGATATGTTTATCCCATGACATCCCTATAAATACCCATGAAATCCCTATAAATATCCGTCAAATCCCTATAAATACCTCTGAAATCCCATTAATCATACAAATCTCTGCCATGTTCCATGGGTTTGTTTTTCCCAAAGACCAGGTTAGGCTCCTTGATGGGCGGCGGCTGCGTGGCGCAAGTCTACCACGGCAAGTTCCAGGGACAAGAAGTCGCCGTGAAGGCCGGGAATGGGAAGATTCGGGAAGATGATTGTTTTTTTTTTCTCAGGGGATGATCTAACTTTATGAAGATAGCCATGGTCATGGAGGGGATTATCTATCTAACTTTATGGATTATCTAACTTTTATGGGCTATCTAACTTCATGGATTATCTAACTTTATATCTATCTTCATAAAGATGGGAATATTCATAGCGTAAGGGGATGATCCAACTGTATGATGTTTCGCTATCCAGTGAATGGAGGGAGCGATTCGGAGCGATTCGGTTGTATATAATATAACCCCAAAAGCCATAGAGACAGTTGAAGCTAAGGATTGAGTTTCCCGACCACCATGGCTCATTGATATTCTTTTGGGAAAAGGCTATATTTTACCATATTTCACCACCAATCATGCAGATATTTCACCAGTGGGATAAGAATGGGATGATTAGATGAGATTCCGATGAGTCTAGGTTCTATGAATTCGTTTAATGTTAAGAGATGTCTCTTTTTAAAAAATGGTGGTTTCCTAAAATGGGGGAGTACCCCCAAATTATCCATGTTATTTTTCGGATGTCCCATTATAAACCATCCATTTTCGGGTACCCCCATGGCTTTTCCAAACCGGGTGGCTTTTCCATGGCTTTCATGGCCCCAAGGCCCCAAGGGCCCCAAGGCAATGAAACGTGGCAAGCTGCGAAATCCCGAAAAAAAAATGGGGGAGGGTTCATTGTGTAAATAACCTACAAAGCTGAGAACCCCCAAACGATAGCGTTCAGTTGGTGAACATAACTCCAATTTCACTATGGTTTATGGTACCTATAACTATAGTATTCATGGGGGTTTTTGTTAACCATCTAACATCACTGGGGGGGCCCCACATTGTACAAGCTCGCGGGGGGATTTTCCAGCCATGATCGGAGGTTCAAATATGGGTATCGGGTTGGATCCCTCCTATGTTCCAGTTGGGGTCGTCGAACATGGCTTAAATGTTGCCGATGATTTGTTGTGGTGCTCAACAAAAGCTGATGTCCATGGAGGAAACAGAGGCAACCCTGACTATTGGAGGGTTCAGATGGCTTGAAAAGTCAGGACAGTCGCGTTTCAGGAACTTTTCAATTTGGGTATGGCTCAAAGTTGTGAACACACATGGATTCTAAAGGTCACTGATTTTCAAACCATGTTTCAATCCATGTTCGATTGCTCGGTCGCGGAGGTGACCCAACTCCGTGGTGCCATTTTGACCTGTGATCTCCCCACGATCTCCCCATGCCATGATCTCCGCATCCAAATTGGTTGAAACCCTCCGTGCCCAAAGGTGCGACGGAGCGGAATCATGAAACGTCTGGAGATGGATCTGATGCCTGCCGAGATATGGAGATGCGGAGACAGTTCAAGTGGTAAAGTGAGTTGGACCCTGAAAAAAATCACCCAGTGACTTACCCTCTCATAAACTATATAACAGAAAACTATGGAAAGATCCACCATGCTATTTGAATGGGAAAACTCACTATTTCGACTGGGCCATTTTCAATGTTAGTTTACCAGTGACTTAGTGCAAACGATCATCTTCCGAAGCCCGAACGACTGGCCCAGAAGTTCACCATGGAAAAAACCCGAAACATGGATCCATAGGCTGGGAAATCCCCGAGCAAATCGAGTTTTTTCATGGGAACAGAATCCATCAAATCGCCCATTTATCCATGTTCTATATATAGCCTATATTTACATTACTGTAGATGATATTTATATTATATAGATGATTGGAAAGACATGTCTGATTTGGATCTTTTGCTCAGATCGTAACTCGGCAAAGATCCTTGAGGAATGCTGGCCATTTCCCATGGGTGAACCTTGGGGTTTTTGTTCCCAGCTGAAACCGCAGATTTTTGCAGGGTATTTTATATATCTAATGGAAAATCCATCACTTAGAGATGATGTCCCCAGCTATAAACCTTCATTTATAGTGGATGTTCATGCACTTTCCCATATTTTCCCATGCCCCGTGGATGAGAACAGTCTAAAAGTCGCCTCTTGTTGTCTCCACCTTCGCGAGCGCTGAGGAAACTTTTACATAAGGCCGCCTGGATCATCGAACACCTGAGACCGCAGTACCCCGGCGACGTGGAACACCCACGGGTTCACGGATGGCCATAGATAGGACCGGGGTGCCCAGGATTCAAAACTGTTTTTGGGGCGGGCCCAAGATGTTTCAGGTGATGTTTTAAGCCTCAGAATTATGTAAGTGACACCAAATGTATGTGATCATTCAGACTGTTGATGTTGCCACCCACGTTTTGATGCGTAACCAAAAAGGAATGATGATGTTCACGAACAGAAATTATGTGTTTTATCAGATCATGAACAGAAATGGTGATGGGATGGTAAACTGACTGCTGTTTCTGATATCTTGAAGGCTCATACACCAATTTTAGATCCAATTTTTACAAGGTGCTTAGATCCAACTAGTTAATGAATTGATAGCTGGAGAATTTTACCAACGAAAGAAGCGGAGAAATTGCCAGGTTGCGGTGGATGGCACTCAATGAAGCGCTGGAGAATTTTGCTTTCTACATGAAGCAGCAGGTCGGATGCCGGGATGCCGGATGCGTGGCGATGAAATATTTTCGGATCTAGAGGAATCAAAGATCAAAGTGCTGGGAAACATAGAAAGGAGTTTTGTAGAAATAGTATGTCTACATATATCATCATATATCATATTATATCATCATATATCATCATTATATCATCTACATATATGATCTACATATATCATATTATATCTAATTATTATTGGTATAGCTTAGAAAGAAAAGCTGGATTAAAAGACTGCAGATTTCGTGGCTCAAAATCATTGATCCCAAGCAGATGGGTGATTTTCACATCTCAAAGTTCATGAAAAAATATCTACAGCTAAATCCTCCATCTAGATATATTCAGATACTCTAACCTACAGTTGTCTGAGTTTCCCGTCAACTTCAAGGCCAATAAACCACGGCCCACCACGGAAACCACGGCCCGTGCCAGGTGAACTTGTCGCAGGAAGCGGTCTACATGAAGCGCTTCGATGCAAACTTCAAAGCAAGAAAGAACATCATCGTGCCCCAGATGCCCGGCTTGGATTATGCCGATGGATTACTAAAAACTAATGTGGGTACACTGCCATAAACCACCCATGACTGGGAATGATTTATACCTATGAAAATGGTGATGACTGGAGGATGGTTTATGACATTGTTTCCCCACATTAATGGTATTTAACTATAGGGTTTTCGTAGCAACTGGTTATTATATTCACATGGTTTACATTAATATCATTGACATTACTGTTTATGACATCCCGATGCTTAGGGATGCAGTTAGGCTAATTACATCTAATTACCTTCCAGTAAATCAACATAGACCCTGATAAATAGAGACTTGGAAGATGTGTTTCCACCAAAAAAAAACGGAATTTTCAGGCTCTATGTTAATTTACTGGAGGGTAATAGATATTTTACCACGGAAATGTCAAAAGTTGGGACGGCCCCCCTGCGATCGGACTTGGTTTCATGGAACTGCGTCCCCAAGTGAAAGGGGCAGAACGCAGGGATGAGCTCCAGTTGAATTGGCCAAAGCTTGCCATTCTTTGGGATTTAAGACTCAATGGATTGGTTTGAGGGAATATCTACTGGAAACCATTAATTTTCCCATGAAATATGGGGCTGTCCTGTAAATTTTCCCTGAAACCAATCCATTGAAAGACGGTTCAAGCAGAAATCACGGGTTGCACAAGCTGCGTGCCTTGAACATCGCCCAAAATTGGGGAGTCAACGAACCATGACTCATGGCCCACCAGCAACCTCTGCAGAGCTTTTATATCCAATCAACCTATTGTTGGGTCGGGATACCTTTGCTAGCTGAAGAGCTCGACCTCTGTCGTTCAAGAAGGTGTTAGCCAAATGTTTATTATTGCAGCTGATGGGTTTATAAACCAAGAAACGGACTTTCAGTTGTGAATCCAGTGCTTCATAACCGTTGGTTTCCCCCTTGATATATGGCATACATTGGTAGTTGTAAGATCGGGTAACAGGGGTTTGGTTTATGGCCTCAGGTTTTCTGCGTATCACCAACTCCAGATGAAACATACTCAACCTAGAGACCTTGATTTGATGTTACTTGACCCCCCCAGATTGTATGTTGGCTGGTTGGTGGCTTGGAACATTTGGACTATTTTTCCATATATTGGGAATAATCATCCCAACTGACTTTCATATTTTTCAGAGGGGTTGAAACCGCCAACCAGATGTTTTTTATGCTAGTTTATGATATTGTTTTTGTATTACCCAGCTTATATAGATGATATTCCCACCAATCACGGGGGATCCAAACCACGTCTTCCCATCTTTGGTGGTTCCGTTCACCCCGTTCTCCCCTCGAGGATCTACGCCCATACGGAGTCGGTCCTAGTGATGGAGGTGGCCGCAGGGGATTCGCTGTCCAACTTCATCAAGCAAAATCACAGCAAGGAGAAACGTTCCTTGGATCAGCTATGGCTATGGATCAATAGCTATGAAAATACCATTCTTGGCGGGATGAACATCTATATACATATAAATCATATATATATATATTTACCAGCTATTTTGCTGTGGACAAACAACGAAGGGGGTTTTTTCGTGGGTTTTGACCCATCCCCAAATGGCGTCTATGTATGGTTTTTGTTGGATGCCACAAGTCCAATTCTTATGATGATCAAATGGCGTCATTGTGACATCGGGAATTTCTGTTTATATATCTACTGAATAATCAACAGTTTGACCATATGAGATTCATGCGAATGAACCCTTCAGTGATGTAAATAACCAACCAAGGTTCTGTTGATTAGTTGTTTGACAAAAATTAACATATGTATATATACATTCACATAGAACCAACAATAGGATTAGTTGCCATTTTATTGGGATACGTTGCGGGAATAAGATGAGATACAAATAAACATACATATGTAATCATACGTACATGCATTGCATTGCATTGCATTACAAGACAAGACAAGACAAGATAAGACATACATACGTGTGAGAACCAATCATGTGACATCTTTTTATTGGAAACCCCTGCTTCACAGCCTCATATGTTTGTCAGATGGAATTTCATTCATATCCTTATCGTTGCTTGATATACCCAATAAACAAACATCACACGATGGAAAATCCCTAATGATTATCTTTATTTCATCGGCCTCCGCAAACAAAAATAGGCATGTTCATACCGGAGGAACATCAGCAACCCTCCAGCATTTGCTTGAAATCCATTTTTATAGAGAGAATTCACGAACTGGGCACATCCTGTTTTTTGTGGCTCATCCACCCGGAGGCTTTCCCGACTTTCTATGTTGGTTAAACTGTGAATTTGATTGAATTTGTGGTATTCTACGCTATGTCTTGGCATTTTACGAATATTTACCACCTATAAATAGTGGGATAAACCACCTATCTACGCTATGTCTTATCATATTTGTCATGGATATTGTTTGAGAAACCATCCATACCCCATCGGAAGATCCCGGGTTTCCCAGCATTTACAATCCATTCGTTGAGGGTACCCTCTGGTACTTTAACAGTTTGTTATTGAACATGGCCCATAGAAATTTCATTGAAGTACCTATTAAAGATGGTGACTTTCCATAGTTTTTTGTATGTTTACCAGAGGGTATCTCTGGTGTTCCCCAGTTCCCCAAGGACTGGAAGTTCACGGGGTGTTGACCGACATGATGGTGACCTGGCGTCCGAGAACGCTCTGCAGGGAACGCGGTATGGTATTTATCAAATCACCACCCCTGTTGATTTAAGATAACCCGTTAAGCATGGTGATTTCAATGACATTTGGATTTGAATGGATTTATGGGAATTGACCCTCTGGTGATTCAAGATCACCTAGGTCAATCTTAGATGGGTAGAACTTAATCCTTTAGTCTTTCGGTATCAATGGATGATCTACATTCACCAGCTCAGAATCTATTTTTTCGCAGGGTACCCACGATTGGCCATGTAAACATTGTGATTTCAATGGCATTTCATGGGAAATTGATGGACTTGAATGAGATTTATGGAAAAATTCGAATTGACCCTCTGGTGATTGAACAGTTATGGAAAATCACAATTTTTTCAGAGCTTCTGTGGATGGTTGCGAAATCCTGCACCAGTTGATAGGTGGTTTATCCCATTATTTATAGGCTTTCAACCATCCGGGGAGGTTTTTCGGATTTCTTCCATCCACAGTATGTTGATTTACCAGAGAGACAGAAAATCAGACAGAAAATCCATGAGTTCCTACTGAAATGTCATGGTAAATCACGTGTCTATTCTCGCTCATTGGGGGGTCCAAAAAAAAACATCTCAATCCCGCAGGATTTTTCTGGTTGTTCCCATGGCTTGGAGGAGCCAATTCTGGAACAGTAACGGGGGGATCCCAAGTTATGTTCATCGAACTCAGGTTCGTGAACGATTTTCAGAATCATAATGATGATAATAATGCCCTCTGGTTATTTAACATAGCCATGGAAAATGGCCCATGTATAGATGGTTTACCTATCAAAAATGGTGATTTTCCATGGCTATGTTAAATAACCAGATAGTAATAGTAATAATAATAATAGTAATTATAATAGTAATAGTAATACTAATAGTGATATTAATAGTCATAATCATCATCCTCATCATCATCACCACCACTATCAGCATCAATAGGAACCATGTGCATGTTCACCAGTACTCTTGTTTTTTGACTATTACTGTAAGTATTATAGTTGTTTTCCTATGATTCTAAGATAGTGTTCTAATGATGACAATAGTGATAACACTACAATTCCTGTTTTTTTGACTAAGATAGTCATTGTTCGTGTTATTGTTCGTGTTATCGTTCTTGTCATCATGGTCAGCCGAAGCCGCAGCCATAGCAGGCGAAGATGGCGCTGCAGGACGGCTTTCTGCATGGGGATTTGCATCCCGGGAACCTCTTCATCCAACTACAGGGTACCTTGGAGGATGGTGGCTGTGGAACTAAGAAAGAGACACCAGAAAAATGGGATGAATTCTTGGTATATTAATTTATATTAATTTAATACATGGGATGAATTATGGTATAATATACCAGATATTTTCTTGGTGCATTCTTGGTATATGAATGGAATCAATGGGATTAATGGGATTAATACAGGGATGAATGGTATTAATGGGATTAGTCTTAGTCAAGCAATTGGAAACCACCCATATGTTTGTCATATGTTGATGCTTTATAGCACCCATTTATGGTAAATTTGTCGATGGTTTAGTATCGCTTTACCAGCATTAATGGGATTAATACCTCATGTTTGAATTATGTATCCCATTAATCCCATGAGGTATTCATATGTTTGAAACTATTTGATTATGATTATTGGAAACCATATGTTTGTTTGTCATATGTTGAATAAACCCCAATCAAAACCTTGTTTTTGCATGTTTAGTATTGGATTTGTTGGTGATTTCGTTCAGTTTGCAGGTCCAGCCACGTTGGTGTTTGAAAAAATTGCAGTGTCCTCAAATAGAAGGTCCCCCAAATCATCCATTTTACCATCTGGTTATTTAACATATGGAAAATCCCTTATAAATGGAGGTTTTAATGGGAAAATCATCTATAAATGGGCCATTTTCCATGGCTATGTTAAATAACCAGAGGGTAATAGGCACTTGATCCTTGTAGACTTTCTCTGAAAATGCGGAAGTGAATCTATGGCAAAATGGCATTTGTTTGGGGAAGATGATGAGAAACCATTGAACCCTGGGGATTTCGGATCCATTTGGGAATCCCCCAAGTCAACATGGTTGTTTTAATACTAAGTCATGGTCGGACTTGGAGAAATGGTCGGAGGGTGCCCTTATGAATTTCAGAGCCACCTTGATGTTTTGACCGCCTAGGAGCGCAGCAGAAACCTTTGGCGCCATGGATGAAATCTTCCAATTCGGTGTTTGATGGTGGTTATGAGTAGAAGTGGTGATTTCACAAGCATAGAAATGGTTGATAGCCATAATAGATTTGTTTGTGGCTGAGAATATTGGACACTAACCTGGAAAACAGGAACATCTGCATGCGATAAAAGCATCGCAAAGTATCATTTGCACCTGCGTCGCAGGTGTGATTTTGGGCCCAGATATTTGATGCGTCCGTACCCATGCCTATGATGACGACATGGTGGTTTGGTCATTCCACATTAAATTTGAATATCATTGGAGTGATTGCCTAAATTTGGGGATATCAAAAAGAAAGAATTTCAATCAGTGGATCTGAGACAAGAGTGTCCATGATCATAGCATCCAGCATATCCATCATATGAATGTGTCCTAAAGTTATGGTACCATTGGTTAATCATCATTTTCCAATTTGGTGGTTTCCTAAAATAGGGGTACCTCCAAATCATCCATTTTTGCAATTTTAGTTGGATTTTCCCATGGAAATAAACCATCCATCTAAAAAAGATGGGGTAGAAAGAAACTCAGAAACTCCAGTGGTTTTGGGACGTGCCAACCATGGGCTTTTCCCATGGATTTGAGACAAACACCATGGGCTTTTTTGCTCGTCACTGGATAGCCAAGTGCCCCCAGGTCACGTTGATTGACACGGGAATCAGCATCCAGATGACCAAGCAGTGCCATGGCTGCCATGGCACCATCCCCTGGGGGATGGTTTCTGCTTGGTGCTGACTGGAACCACGGAATTTTGAATGACCTTTCCCATCATATTGGGAATAATGATGATCCCCATTGACGAACTCAGATTTTACAAGATTGTTAAAATTTTTAAAACAACCAACCAGTTAGTTATATCAGTTATATCAGTTATATCAGTTATATCCCCTTTACCCAATCTGCAAGGTGGTGCCCCCGTTCGAGAGCGTTCAGTTGGTGCAAATGACTCCAAATTCACTATGGTTTTTGTTGGTGATATATCGAACTAGTTTTCATGGGGGTTATAAACCACCAAACATCACTGGGGGGGCACCATCCTGTATTGAGCCAGTGAGAAGTTGAGAAAAATCACGAAAGTCTCCACTTAGAACCCTTGGAGAATTCACGTTTTTTTTTAATACCCTTTGGTAAACATACAAAAAACTATGGGAAATCAGCATCTTTAATAGGTAAATCAACGAACTTTCTATGGGCCATGTTCAATAGCTATGTAACAAATTACCAGAGGGCATAATCCCATTCTATTCCCATTATTCACCATTGTTAACCCATTGTAACAAACCATAAATAAATAGCCATGAAATCACCATTAAATCACCATTGATAGTCATTATTCCCTCGTTATTCCCATTACCAAAAACACCCATGAGTGGGAATGGTAAACATACCACAAAAATAAAAATGGTGATGACTGGGCAAAAAATGCAGATGGCATTGTTTTACCAACAAAAAAAAACACGATTACCGAAAACACCACTACCAAAAAAAAAGCAGCACTATTACCGACATTAATCACTATTACCAACACCATCACTATTACCAACATGAATTTCCCATTCTATTCCCAGCAAAAACACAGCTGAGGTTAAGGGACTTCACCAAGGAGGCCATGGGGGCGGCTTTTCGAAAGGATGCCTTCAAGTTGGGTTCAGCCGTGACTCGGTGACCGTTTGAAAACCATGACTGGAGGATTTTGAGGGATACCCCCCATGACGACTGGAAACCTCCTGGTTGCGAGAAAATACATGGTTTTTTCGGAAGCTGGAGCCATTTTTAATTGATCTCATAAAGAGGTCGATCAAAGCACTGGGATGACAATTGGGATCATAGATACGGTGTTTGTTTGGGATAGAAATAGGAAAGATCAACTCGCTAAATCCAATGGTCACTTTGCTTGACATTGCACGGGCACAAAAAAAATATGTGGTTGACAACTTGCCATTTTGGTGAGGATGTATTCACACCGGCCAAGACAGGCCATGCAGGATATCTGAGACTGGCCATGAAAATAATGCAACGTTATTTAAGAAGAATTTATGAAAAATTAAAGGTTACCATGAAAATGTTGGATTTCAGCAAACAGAAAAAGATATTTGATATAGTTTCATCGGAGGGTTCCAGGTGCCATGTTTGATTCCGGGAGGGTCGCCTTGGTTTGAACCCGCTTGGTCAGCTACGAAATCCAGCTACGAAATGGGGGGACGAAATGGGGGACCAGGTAGATATGACCTTTTTCGTAGAGATGCCGATCAGGAACAGATTGGGGTGCACTGAGTTGGCTTGAGTTGGTTTGATCATATTGGTGTGATATGTGCTGAACGTGTTTTCATGGCTTTTTCCTGGGTCAGCAACGTTAGGACAAAACATAATGATATAATGCTAAATTGTCCAAATGACACATGAGATTAAGGATGTGTTCAATCAAACATGGTGTGATGTAGCGGAGCTAAAGCTGGGTTGGCTGATTCAAGTATCACCCTTGGACAGATATTTCAGTACTTTAATATCTTTAATCTTTTGCTGTAAGTCCGGAAATTTGCTGACAAGTCAGAAAATCTTGATGTTTCGCAAATTATGTACAAGATTGACATAGATTGACCATGTTTTTCTTGGCACTTGGTGGGTACCCAGACCTTCAGACCCACCCGCCCCGCCAACGCTTCGCTGAAGGTGGTGAGGTTGCACGAAAAGGAGAATTTGACGAACTACGCCGAGAATGTCGAGCAGCTGAAGGAAACCACCGGCCCAAACTGCTGGCTGGAAAAGCCATGGCTGGCTTTTAGCCATGGAAATCCTATGGTTTCTACATGGGAAAACCAGAACATGCAAAACATTAATGGTGCATTTCTACATGGGAAAACAGCTTCGTGCCTTGAAGCACTGGAGAAGACTTTGCTGATTACAATCCATGGATTGGGTACCAGAAATGTCGACCAACATCAGATTTGGATCTTCTGTGCGCAGACTAGGTTGATTCAGATTCAGACTAGGTTTTATATTGTCAAGTTATTGCGGATTGTCAACACAAGATTAGAGCTAGACTTCCCAGTTGAGATTCGCCTTGGCACCAGGACGACATGGGAAATCTGTTGTTCCTTGGAAATAAACCAGCGGCCAGTGACCCTCTATGTAACCAGGTAACCACTGTTGTTTTTTTCCGTAGTTAAAGCGGCATGTTTCTTGGCGCATCTCTCCATTTTCCCCATTTTTTGTTGTTAAAGACCCCTGAATCCATGAACGAAACTGCGCGGTGGTTCAATCCTCAGGGTCTTTGGCTCAAAGCCCTGCAGCGAAAGTTGCTGCAGGTTGGCTGGCAGCAAACCTTAGCACTGGCTCAGATAAACAGCCACTAAAACCATATTACAACATCTTACAACCTTATTAAAACTTTCTAAACCCTACAGTAGGGCCATTGCCAATCAGTTTATCCAAAAATTGGTGATGCCCTTTTGAAAAAAGTGAAAATTGTGAATCCCAATTTTCAACTGTCCTCGTGTTTGTAATTTGGATGTCCCCAGATGTTTATACCTCCCATCCGCCAATCAAACATGGCTGGAAAATCTCCCCTTCGTCGATTCATTTTCGCCATGCAACTGATCCAAAGGGTATCTTCCATTATCTCCCAAATATTATCCCACTTATCCTCCCAACTCTATTTCTCTATTTATCAAATCCCTGTATATCCCTGTGGGTCGCTGTATATCCCTATAAATCTCTATAAAATCCCGAAAAAAAATCCTACAAATCTCCAGAAAAATCCTTAAAATCCCTTTAAATCTCTACAAATCTCCAGAAAAATCCTCTATAAAATCCTTAAAATCCCTTTAAATCTCCATCCCTTTACGCTTCATTGCAGGTTGGCTGGCTGCTTCATGGTGGGTGAGGAGATCTGGAGCAAACGCTTCGCCACCTTTGAGGACTACAACGGCACCAAGGCCGCCATGAATTTTGAACGGAACTTCGGGGATTCTTCGGGATTCTATTTGGATGTGGGTCAAAATGGAAGACCTAGGGGACCACAGATTTTAGTCTAGTTTAGTATTAACCATCCAATTATTGGGGTACCTAATTTTTACCCATACCCCTATGGTAGATTCTAAGTATAATTTAATTGATGGTGATTCTATGGTGGATTCTGATTATTCGATTAGATTGATTAGTAGTTGAATTCTAATGGTAAAAAATGGTGGATTCTTCCTGGGATTCTGTGGGATTCAGCAGCTGACAGATGGGGTAACCGAATGCCACCATCCCGGGAACTTACCATCTGGTTATGACTAGCAGTTCGCCATGGAAAATCATCATGCTATTAAGTTCGGTAAACCATCTAATTATAAATGGGATTTACTACGGTATGCTATTCATGTGTAAATCAACGAACTTTTTTTTATTGGCCATCTATACCAACCATAGCAAACTGTTGAATTACCTTAGGCCGGGTATTCCAGCATTGACAGAGGGTGGTTCCTACCAACCATCCCCCATGGCTATGGGAAAATCTTGCAGTTGAAGCTTTTAGTGGGAAAATCATCAAACATGAATAGGGGGCGTTTTTTCCAGCAAGCCATGCAGCCATGACACCGGACCAAGTACACAACTTGTGTTTTCGAACGGGTATCTAAGTCTAAGCTTCGCAGTTTATGCCGGGAACATCCACTTGTAAATCAACCCTATAAGATTCCTGGAACATCCTGCAACCCATTGCAATGCAAAGTTATATCCTCCAATAAACAAAAAAAAGTCGCAAAGTCGGAAAGTCCATGAAAGACAACTATCAAAGTAGATCACCCCTTGGAAAACCCATGGGGATTTCCATCGTTTTTTTTTGTGAATTTTTCATCCCAGTTCTCCAGCGCAGCCGTCGAAAAACCGCCGCCAGGTGAGTCAATACTTCGATTTCTTGATGTCCGACTTGAGCCCTTTGGCGTCCGTGCTGACTTCTGGTGCTGAAGTGGATGGGAAAAGCTCCGTTAAAATGGTGGATTTCCATAGGAAAATGCTGGTAAACCATAGGAAAACCATAAGAAAATTGTGATTTAACCACTATAAATGGTGAGTTTTTATTTTTTGTTACAATGGGTTAACAATGGTGAATTTCATGGGATGATATGGGATTTACCCCTCTGGTAAACTAACGTAGCTATGGAAAATGGTCCATTGAAATAGTTAAATTTACCTATGAAAAATTGTGAATTTCCATAGCTTTTTGTATGTTTACCAGAGGGTAATGGTGGGAAAAGATCCGAATTTTGATGGTTCAAAGTGGGATGTGTCCCTGTGGCTGGGTCAAAACTCCTGGATATTAACCATGTGCTGCAACAATTTGAATAATCCTGGTAGCTGGTCAAGCGTTTCATCAGGGTCTAAAATATGTCCCCCGGCAACAACTCAAAACAAAATCCTCCAACCAACCACGAAACAGAAAACCCAGCATTCTGATGTTTTGGTGTCCAGAGGGAACATGATACCATCTGGTTATGACTAACATAGCCATGGTATAGATGGCTCATAGAAATAGATGGTTTACCTATTAATAGCATGGTGATTTCCCATGGCTATGTTAAATAATCAGATGGTATCTCTACTATAAATATCTACAAATCCATGATTCATGATAGTGATTGATGGTGATTTTGATGGGATCGAATGAGGACATGTTCCATGATTTTCCATTTCCAGGTCTTTTTTGATAACCCCCCGACCCCTCTGAGGCTCGCATAAGATTCGGGTGGCACCGGACTTATGGTCCATCATGACAGCCTTCGCATTGCAGCTGGGACAACATCCAGCTGGTGCTGGGATGAATCCATTGGAATTTAGTGGATCTCAATGGGATTTCAATGGGATTTCAATGGGATTTAATGGGGTTCAATGGATTAGAGTCTACCCTTTGGTAGCCGTGGTTTGCTGGAAAATCTCCCATTGAGTTCTGTGATGTTCATTGACTTTCCCATTTAATCGGGCCCATGAATATAGTGGAGGTCCCAGCCAGCCATGTTTGAATACCAGAGAAATGTCAATTACGGGAGCCACTATTGAGCTGAGAGCAACTGGTGAATCGTTGGTGAAGTGGCGGCAACATCGCCAAACCACATCGAGCGCTTTTGTGACTCCACATTCCCTTGGAATTGGTCGCAGTTTGGTGGGGCCCAAACAATGGGACACACTGGGCCCCAAGAATCCAGCATCCATTTTCTATGTCGCCCAAACAAACACAAGAAGAGATCTCCCCAAAGGGGTTCCGCAGCAATTTGGGTAACATGTCCCCTCTGGTAATTTACCAGTTCGCTATGAAAGCCATGGCCCATTTAGTTCGATGATCAAAATGATTTCCCATAAGCAAACTCGTAAATAACCAGAGGGAATCATGATTTATTAAAAGAAATATAGCATCAATAAAAAATGCCCCGGTCTTTTTCATGGTCATTAATCAATGGTCATTAATCCATGGCTTTCCAATATTTCCAATATGTTTTTTTTAATGGTAACCTCCCATATACGTCACCAGTTGCCCAGGATCGAAGGTAGCATCAGCGAGTTGGGTTTCGGGGTGAATGTCCTGGGATCTTGCGTTCCGCTTCTCGGCGCCGGACCCATGGGACCATGGGATGAACGAAGCCATGATGAAAGCGGCTGGGGATATCAAAGCGGGGAATCATATCATGGGTGCCCCTAACGGTTAGCTCAGTTGGTGCCAATGAGTCCAATGACTCACTATGGTTGTTGGTGATATATCGATAGTTTTCATGGGATTATAAGCCATTTATAACTGGGGGGGCACCACCTTGTATATACTAGATCAATCTTAGATGGGTAGTTTAATCAGTTTAGTCTTTTGGTATCGCAGGCTATCTAAGATTGGCCATGTATATGTTAATATATGTAAATGTATACATGTTAATGTATAACATTGGTTTTTGATAGGATATTTTTGGGATATTTGAGAGGATGCAGTGCTGCAATGGCGACGATAAAAAGTGGGATTTCATGGCGGAGATTTTTTCGGGATAAAATGGGATGATCAACCTACTTAAGGGTGCAGTTGGGCTCATGAATGGGGATATATATATATACATATATATATATGTGTGTGTGTGTAGCTATGATCATATCCACTTTGAACTGGAACTGCAATTCTAAGTACAGGATAGGATTTCTTGATATTTCTCGAAAGATTGGGGAATTTTCCGAACATTTTTTAATGTGGGAGTCGATGTTGGGATGGTGGTCTCAGCCGCCCAGCCCAGTGGTGTTTTGCAAGGTATCTCATGAACCACTTCAATCCACTGGATTGGATTCGCAGAAAACAGACCCTGGCGGCACCTCGGTGTTTTTTTGAGATTTCTGGGGCTACGGGAAGATGGGCGGTGCTCAATCCATGGGGATACTTCCAAATCATCCATTTTGATCGGGTTTTCCCGTATAATCATTAAAAACTATTAGGGGTACCCCCATGGATTGGAAACCACCTTTAATTTTTGGTGTTCAATTGGACTGAAGTTCTCATTTCCTATGGAACACCCCTAGTTTCATGGATGACCACAAAAAATGAGGAGTTACCCACATGTGTTATCAAACGTGGTCTGCTGGAAAATCACCGAACTGGAGGTTTCTGTCGCTGGGAAAAGAATGGGAAAAGAAAAAAACGATAGTCATAGAACCAGTTGATAATATCGCATTGTTTCAGCATCTTCCGCAATGGAAGATGCATCCATTGCTTAACATCGATGGGGATCTTCACTACTTGGCATCAGCGTCAAGTACAGGGAAGAAAAAAAGCTTCGAATACATCTGAATAAATTATAGCGACCTCACTGTTCTCCCTGGGAATAATGGTTAGTAAGAGGAATCATCCCAAAATGGCCGAACTATTCAGGTTAGTGAATTATTATACCCTCTGATAATTTGTTACAGTTTGCGAACTTGAAGCCATGGCCCAGTCGAAAGTCCGTTGATTTACCCATGAAAATAGCATGGTGTGATTTTCCACAGTTTTTTGTTAACGTTGACCAGGCCGGGTCTAGCTTACCGCAGATCTCCGCAGTTTCTTCCCTTCTGAAGGGATTGGTTGGGAAAATTTGCAGCCCCTTTTGGTTGGGGGCAAAATTCTACCATGAGTCCAACCCTTACCCTCTGGTTATGACTAACATAGCCATGGTTAAGCCATGGCCCATGAAAATAGATGGTTTACCTATTGATAGCATGGTTGATCTTTCCATGGCGAACTGTTAGTCATAACCAGATGGTACAATTTTCCAACGGGGTTATTGTAAGCCCTATGGCAAAGGTGATGGGAAAATTGCACCATTGGAAAAGGTAAATAAAAGCCTATGAAAATAATAATGGTTTTGAAAAGGGTTATGTTTTTCCCAGTTTTCCAAAGGTTCAAGCTAGTAGTTCCTGGTTTCTACTGATGCTTGGCGGAATTCCAAGATGGGTCCAGAAATAAGGTAGACATAAATTGATCATATCTTAGTAGGGGAAACGAGGTTTTAAACCATGGGAGTGAGTTTATGGTGCCCCATGTTCAGACAATCCCATTAAAAATCAAACATGATACCAATATGACCCATGTTTTTTCCAGACCCCACATGTTTTTAAATCTATGGTCCCATGTATTTATCTCATACTAACCATGAATATTCCCCATTTATCATTCATATTTATCATATCGCCTTGATATTTCTCCCATCGATCAGACCCATTCATCTTGATCCTACCGACCCCGGCCAGCAGGAGTCTGATAAGAATAGCGAAGCGGCGGGGCGGAAGTAGTTCCCGCCTACTGCCCGGCGGGCCGCGCAGCCATGCGGGCTGTATATCATGTTGGGTCTGAAAATCGGGAGACCCCAAAATCCCATGGTTTAAAACATCTCAATGTTCGTTTAAAACAAAAAGAGATAACTTGGGGTATTCCAAAGACTAAAACCATTTCACTAAAGCAACACCCCGAGGTGCTCCTGAGCACGTGACAAAATCGATGTATCTGAAAATGGGTTGGATACCTCAAAATAGCAAATTTACCCTCTGGTAATTTAACATAGCTATTGAAAATCACCATTTTTAATGGCTAAATCAGCTATAAATGGCAATGTTCAATAGCTATGTTAGTTTACCAGAGGGTAGTTCTGCAAGTGATTATTTTAGCCATTTTTGATTTCGGGCATCCACACATGGCAAACCCATGACAAATTTGATGGGATAGGTCAAATTCGTCACCTCCTGCGGCTTGCAAGGCATTTTTCTGTTGAGTAACATTGGACGTTAATGCACTTGCTATTGTTGTTTATATACGTCTATATATGTGTTGAGTATGTTTTTCACTTTTGAATTCTTGCCCAGTGATCATTGTTCATACATTTGGCGGTTGGCCCGTTGGGCCTTTTACAAAAGCCTTCTGTTGTCCCCTTATCCTGCGCACGGTTTCTGCCAGGATTCCCAGAATCCGCGGCTTAATCATCAAATGTTGGGGGTGAACCCGGCATTGCTCGTTTTGCTTCCCTGGTTTGTCCAGCATCACCATAGATCATGCATATCCCATTGGACCCCAAATCTCACATCTTTGTTTACCCGGCCTGGTTTTTACGTACAAAAAACTCATGGGAAAATCACCATGCTATCAGTGGGAAAATCCACTATTTCTATGGTCATTTTCAAGTTCGCAAACTGTTAGTTTACCAGAGAGTAGTCAGCAGGTTGCATCTGTTTCAGTTCCGACCTCAGGGTGTGTCTACCAGAAATCTCCGTTTCAGCGACCGCTGTACGGTTCGGTGTCGGAGGGTTCGAAGGATGGGAAGACCCAAGAACTGGAGACACATTTTCTTTGCCTGTTTAAAGCTGGTTTATAAAGCCCATTAACTACATAGATTCTAGTTGTAGTGCCATAAACCATAGTTAACCTAGTTATAAACTAGCGTAGCTATCTAGGGGACAGGACCTTGTACTGGTAATGTGATAACCCAATGATGATATTAATTGCATTTGATGGCTTAATGCTGGTTATTAATGGTTAATGTTAATTATCCTGATTCTTAATGTGGTAAGCCCAATGCCACAAACTATCCTCGCTAGAGGCTGGGTATGCTCTATTAGGTATACTCCGAATGGTAGGTATGAGATGGTTCGGTTTATTATTTGGTTTGCCACACTACACCTGTTGAGAATGAGGATGTTCGCGAACCACAACTCCTGAGAAATATGTATGTATACATATTATATATATATGCTACTTCCCCCTCCAAAACCCACCGCGCAGAAGATTCAAATGCTTATTCATGTGTCAAGGAACCTTTGTTTGGAAAAACTATTTTTTTCAGAATGATATTAAGCCTTCCTTCAATCATACACCAGATTCCTACACATGCCGTGTGTGATCAACATTCAGTATTGCTGTCGAAAAGTGCAGTCGATGAAAATTGCTGCATTCGAAAAAAAATGTTAAAGGAACATGCTTACAGGTTACAATCTGCCTTGACCTCAAGAAGCAGTATTCCTGCAGAACCATACAATATCTGGAAAAATGCAATACAACCTTTAATGAAGCCCAGCCTTCCTCTTGTGTTTCTTGTATGACCAGTTTTTGAAGGAAAGACTTCACTTCTTCAGAACAATTGTCCTGAAAGCAAGGTCTTACCTTAAGTAAGAAGCAGTATTCTTGCAGAAACATATAATATTCGGAAAAATGAAATACGTCTTTTAATAAAGTTCAGACTCCCTCTCAATTCTTTGCATGACATTTGCTTTGAAAGGAAAGACGTCACTTCTTCAAAATAATGATGCCTGTCTTGTTCAGCTGTTCAGATGTTTCATTCATATGGAAGGGTATATTGCACACATACAACCATGACCTGTTTCTTTCAAAAATACTACATACACCCAAGGGTTCTACTTCATAGTAATGCTTTTCTTCGTATTACTGCATGAGTTTCAATCAAATGGTTCACTCCCTTGTGAAGGAGGCTTTTCACATACGTGCACCAACATTTTTTAAGGAATACCATAATCATTGTCTAAAATGAGTACTCAAAGGATTCCTTTCTCAAGGAATACTACACCCTCTATTTTCCAGAAATGTGTTACTCTACTCAATGAAATTTTGCAAAAAGTGATGCTACGCTTCTACATTTCTTTCAGAATACAGAGTACTGCATCCACTTTAAGTACTGCTGTATCTATTTTCATTCTATGCAAAAACAATGTTGCATTTTCTTGAAGGAATGCTCCACCATGTTCAAGGAATGAATCACTCTTTACCATGAAACATTGCCAAAAAGTAATGCTACACTACAACTTTTATCTAACTATAGAATATATATATATACTAATTATACTGTTATCAAGGAATACTGCATAGACTAAGTCACTGTTCTTAAGAAGGGGCAATGATAATTTCACAGAGGTAGCATTTGTGAGGTTGTTGTTTAAACAAAAAGACGGCTCATATTTTTTAATATTCCAAGCATGCACTATTACTATCAAAAAAAACGATCGCATACTGACTCTAGAAAGCACAATGTAGCAGTATTTGTGCCACATGTGCAGCATTTTCTTCAAACATCCATCTAATTTCCGAATAAGTATAGTGTTGCTTGGAGAAAAACACGCATGTTCTTCAAAGTAATGGCTCCATTTTTGAAGATCGTTTTTTGTTTGAAGAGATACTGCATTTGATTGAAAGATGCCTGTTGCAGGGACTTTTTGTGTAACATGGTTCTTCCTTCCAGAAGTATTGTACCAAGTACGTTCTGAAATGGGTCTGTGCTCATGTTTCAAACTAAGCAATGCATATTTACAGATTGGGAAAAACACTACCAGATCGAAATGAAGAGCGATATGTTCAAGAAAAGTGACTTTCTGCAAAGGAATGCTACCTATTAGAAAGGAATACTCTTTTTGCTTAGCGAATGCTATACCTTTTGAATGAAAGTGTCTGTTTGTAAAGCCTGCACTTGTCAACTAGAATTACTTCTTGAAAAGAAAGATTCATGTTTGATCGTCTTTTGTGGTAAAGTAGTTTACAGTGTGTTCACTGCCTTTTTCAGGTTTGGGAAAAAGACCGAAAGTTGAGAATCTTTTCATGTAGAGGATGCCCTTACCGGAGCATTGGTATCAGCTGGTTTTGTTTCGGATCAAAAATTGCAGATTGAGGACCTCAAACCAGGATTGAAAATTGAAGATTGAAGGTCCAGGAAAACTTCTTCAATCCAGAGCCCTGGATTGAAGATTGAAGATTGAAGGTCCAGAAGAACTTCTTCAATCAAGAGTCCTGGATTGAAGATTGAAGATTGAAGGTCCAGAAAAACTTCTTCAATCCAGAGCCCTGGATTGAAGATTGAAGGTACAGAAGAACTTCTGCAGTCAAGAGTCCTGGATTGCTGGATTGAAGATTGAAGATTGAAGGTCCAGAAAAACTTCTTCAATCAAGAGTCCTGGATTGAAGATTGAAGATTGAAGGTCCAGAAAAACTTCTTCAATCAAGAGTCCTGGATTGAAGATTGAAGATCCAGAAGAACTTCTTCAATCAAGAGTCCTGGATTGAAGATTGAAGATTGAAGGTCCAGAAAAACTTCTTCAATCAAACATTTTTAATGGATAGTATTATATTTTTCTCCATAACACCCACGCACCGCACAAGCGACGGGATTCAAGCCGACAAGCACCTAGCGTTGTTTGGACTACGTTGCGAGATAGACATGCACTCAATCAGCAGCAGGCAGGGATTGATGGGGACTATTATCACTATCATTATTATTATATATCACTATTATAATGCAAGGACTGACATGGGAATGTCAACCATTGAGGATTCAAGCTGCCAGCATGGACAAAAATCGAAGGCGGTGGATGGTTCAGATCGAATGTTATGGGCCCCGGGATTCATATGCATAGTCCATAAATTTGTCGCGTTATCCAATCATAACTGGTTGGTGGTTTGGAACCATAGATTGGGAAGAATAATCACAATTGACTAATATTTTTCAGAGGGGTTGAAACCACCAACCACCCTCTAGCTGTAGATCCAGAGCCTTCCCAAACTGCGAACTCCATCCGGATGACTGCGGTTGATCCGAAAGACAAAAGAACAATGGCTCAAGATGGGAAGGTGAATATGAAGCAGCAAAAAGGGAATATCTTTATAGATGTAGATATATATATATATATGTATGTATGTATGTATATTTATATGTATATGTGTATGTATATATATATATATTTACAATTATTTATGTGTATGTATATATATATGTGTGTACATATACCCAGCAAAACGGAAGCAAAAGAGGGTTGTATGACCAAAGATGGAGAAAGTGGAGACCTTCCATAGATTCTGGGCAACGTCACGATGACCTCACAGGAAATGATGATTGGGGAGGTCCTGGGCCCAACATATCAGATTTCAAAAGAGGAAAATGGGCGTACCCTCAAACTAAAATAGCTATGGAAAATCTCCATTCTAAATAGGTAAATCAACTATAAGATGGCCATTTTCAATAGCTACTTTAACATAACCAGAGGGTATAGAACCCAATGTGCTTGTCATCCTGGAGCTTTCATATACTGGGACCCATGGGAGCCAGCATATATTTCTGGGTCGATGTTCAACTACACAACCCATCAAAAAATATCTAAAAGTTTGTTGGTGATATATCTATAGTAAATGGGATTATAACCCATTTATATAACTGGGGGGCACCACCTTGTATATACTAGATCAATCTTAGATGGGTAGAACTTTATCCTTTAGCCTTTCGGTATCAACGGGCTTATCTACTAACCAGCTAAGATTTTTTTTTGCAGGGCATCCAAGATTGGCCATGTATTCCGAGGGAAACAGCGATTCCAGCTGACTTATACCCCATGTGGTCGAGCGAAAAACTGCAACTTTGGACGCCCATTTTTCAGTGCATCCTGCGAAGAGTCACGTCATCCCTGTTAGGAATGACGTGACCTCGCAGCATCCACCGTACAGTGAGGGAAACTGCCCCCAAAGCCATAGAGCGGTTTGTTTCATTGTTCAGCTAAGAGCCTCATTCCATCCTGGATAGATGACCTAAGTAACATGGCTATGGATCCACAGCTGTGAATACACTTCTTAGTGTAGTTTCCGCAACTACCACCTGTGATATAAAAACAAGGGGGTACAGGCGGGACAATCCCAAAGAATCCCAAATCCCGAATCGCGCAGGCAGAGACCTAGAGGCAGACGGTGGAACTGGGGGGATTGTCTGAGGCAGAAACAAGGTCAGCCATGCTCAAACCCTTTGGTAAACTAACCTAGCGATTGAAAAAAAAACAGTTTTAGTAAGTATTTAGTAGGTAAATCATCGATATGGACCATTTTCCAAAGCTATGCTAGTTTACTGGAGGGTAATGGTTACTGATGGTTACTGGTTTTTCACCTTGGGCAGTCTGATGCCATGGTTCCCCCAATGTCAAGTAGCCGCGCCATCGTCAATCGCGGGTGGTTGATGATTTTGATGCTCGAAGCCTGGGAAAATCTCATGACCCAAAAAAAAGCTTTGAAGAAAACCTGGCAGACAGAATGATGGCAGAATGAGCCATTTGGGTATGAGTCAAAACCTTGGTACCCTAGTGAACCCCAAATAACTGGTAAATGGATGTTCATCCATCTAAAAATGGTATGTATAGGTATTGGTCCATAGCCATTTGATAGTATGGAAACTTATGGCCCTATCAACCAATGAGTAGAAGGAGGTGACAGTCATGATCGTGCAAGAAATCTGAATTAGGATTCCAAAAAGAATTGGAGCAAAAATGGAATCTCACCAGCAACAATGATGCGCCTTCAGTAGAATCACATGGCAATTGAAAAAAATCTGTTTGCAGATGATGTTCCTCTTCCAGTGATGTGTCGCAATGTTGGATTACCACTGTGAAACCCGCTTGACCATGACCAGCGCACATCGCCTCGGTCGCCTCAGGAATCTCCGGCAGTTTCACGGCAAAAAATGCAGCTGCCAGCCACCTGAAACGGTTATTCTTGGGGATGGACCAAGCTATCAGAATCCCTGAAACAACACATGGGCAAAGCCGCTGGAGATAGGAATTCCAGATGTGGTTAATGATTTTTTCCAACTAATCTGGTGACAGAACTAAGAAGTGATAGATAAAGCTTGAGGAATCATCAGTGTATTAGCCAATTGTTTTTTTTTCCTGCGTCCACACTGAGGGTTCTTACGGTAGGAGTAACGCCCGGGTTCGTTCAGGGTTCGCGCGGGTTTTGTCTGTGCCGGCTCGCACACAAGTTCCTGAGTGAGATCGCGATGTGCATTTCGACTGCACAGGCTAGCACAAAATGTGTGTAACGCTTTGCTCTCTTCCGAAGGTCTACTTTTACCGGTACGCCATTTCCGTTTTTAGAGCTATGTGCGTTTTTCGTGGCAGACATGAGGCTACCGGGACTCGCTTGCGAGACAGGTGCAAGATGTTCGGCAGTTTTCATCCGCGCGGCAGGCGCAGTACTTTGTGCATGTCGCTAAAACGTTGGCAGGCGTGGGTCGAAATGAAAGCTGTTTTCGAAGGTCATTTTTCCTGGTAGGCGCCGTATTTTGTGAAACAGTTATTGGAACTGCATCCCCAAGCATGCCCATAATTCAGGAGTATCGTTTGCGATTCAAGGGTGGTTCGAGTGATGAATGGTGATGTTCGAAATGAGATCATGGGAATCGGAATCACAAACTAATTTCTTTCAATGAAAGATGAGGATCATCTCAAAGTTCACGACTTGAATCCGAATGAATGAGTCTTCTTCTGAAACGCATTTTCGCTTAGCCGTCTGGCTTTAGCTCCTATGTTGAGCACACCATGCACCGCACCTTGTGGTGAACAAATCAGATGAGGGTATCTAGGCTTGGAAATTTGGACCCCTTCCAGATAGCGTGATAGATTTTGATGGGCTGCAACCGCTAATGTTCTTGGGCTTATCAGGATTTGGTTAGGGTTACAACCGAGTAATCGCTAGTACGGGCCCAGTGTTGGTGAACAAAGCAATCAGATGAACAGCTACAAGCTGCCATAGAACATTTGGTGGACATGGCTACGGAAGTGCCATTCAAAAGCGCAGCTTTGAGCCCCAGCCATCCCAGCACCAAGTCATACCACCAGCGTGAGTTGAAACATGTCCCAGCCGCTTCACGGCCAGCAGTTTGGACCCCAATCCCAACAGGCCAAGAGAAAAGCATAGAAAAACTCTGGCAGTCACCCTACCCCACCTTCCAACTTGCAACACTGATCTGCTGCCATGAGTTCTGCCATGGAACGCACTTCCAGTGCCCCACCCGCGGAAAAGACGGTCCCTGCACCTGCCAGCAGCAGCAGCCGCCCACCAGCACCACATGGAGTGGAGTGGGATCCGCTGCCCATGGTGCAGAGGCAGGTGCTGCACAAGCCCTCCACGGGGTGTTTGCGGCGCGTGGGTGCCGTGGTTTATGAAGGGTGGGGGTGGTTGACTGCTGGATTTATGTGGCGCATCAGCAGGTAACATACTCCTGGCATCCGTAAGTTGCTGAGGAAAAACAAACATCGTTCAGATAGTGAAGGTAAATCCCCACATTTTTGAGGTGTTCAATTTGTTTTGCTTGACATATTCCTATTGCAAACCTCAAATCCTCATATTTTATGGCTCGCTTCAATCCTGATATTTTGCCAGTGAAACCCCATCATTCTCATATTCTGCTGCTAAAAATGATGGTTGTTTCATGGTTTTTCCATTGTTTTTCATGAGTTTTTCCATGGTTTTTCATGAGTTTCCATCCCTTCACCGAGCGCAAGGCATCGAGCTGAACTCCTTGAGACAGGAGCCCCTGCCCGGCATCGGCCTGTGGCCCGACGAGAACTTCAGCACCTTGGTCCATGCCTTGGTCGAAGGACCTGAGGAGCACCGGGCTGCATGACTGGGGATACCCATGGCTTTCTTAGGAAAGCTCCTAATATTGTGTACCCTCTGGTAAACTAAGAGTTTGCTATTGAAAATGGCCATAGAAATAGTTGATTTTCCCATTCAAAATGGTGAATTTCCATAGTTATGTTAGTTTACCAGAGGGTATGTAAATCTTGGCTGGGTTGATGGATCAACTTGGAGCCATAAAATCTCAGGAATGTTAAATTCATGAATACACAACTGAAAGATACCGAAAGTTCATTCTAATCGATGAATCCCTACCTTTGATGCCATTCGATTACGGTTTTTTCGTTCGATTCCCAGCTCGTTCCGGCAGGAAGACCGGGCTGTTGATCATTGGGAGGGTACTACTTTAACAACAGGTGAAAGCATTCTTTCAAAAAAATCAACCAATGTATTTCAATGATCAGTTGACATTCCTCATCTTGCCGATTGTTTCGAGGAGTTCTTGTTTTCCTCCAGATGATCGAACCCAGTGCAAAGCCAGGAACTCCAATCCGACTGATCCCTCTAAGGATTCATGGGGATACAGTTCCAGTTCTAAGTTGAATACATATCCATAGTTTGAAGATGTTTGAAGGGTTATATCCTAAGGTATCCTATTTTATTGAAGATTATCACCAGGGTGATCGATTGATTAAGATTGATTAAGATTGATTAAGAACTTCAACTGCACCCCAAGTTGGGAGACTGGTACAGGAGACGCCCTACGAGGGTGGCATGTTTCATTTCGTTCTCTATGCCACTGATCTCCTCGGTTTGGGGGGCCGGCGGTAACGTTGAATCCATGGGTTTGGGGGGTGGTTCTCCCAACATTTCGTGTGGGAGAACGGGGCATAGCTACGAAATATATCAAAATACGTTTTAAAAATTGCTCGAAAGATACTGATTTAACATCATTTTGACATATATCAAAACATGATTGACTATGAATATTCACCAGTGGCTTTGGGGGCACATCCCAGTTTTGGATCACCTGGACGATGAAGTTGATGGCAAGTGGAACCTGAGGAAGGCCTAGTTGTTTGAGTAAACCTTGGTGAGTTGTTTGACTTTTAGGAGGAACATGTCATATCCCATTTGCTACGTGGTTTTGCAATGGATATCCAAGATATAAGATATTCGCCCCCTTCATCATTAGTTCAGTTTCAGATTGAAAGCCAGACTCACCCTTAAAATGTCCATCATCATCCCATATATATAATTTTATATATATAATTGTTTATATATATATCTATCTATCTATCTATCTATCTACCTATCTATCACCTTTGTCGGTTCACCCTCCAAGTCTTCTTGGTGATATATATATATATATCCACGTGTTTGGTAATAATGATCTCAGGTTGTCAGATCCAGCTGTCGTTCTCCAAGGTCAAGTCCAACTATCCCCACGAGCCACCCCTGGTGCGTTTGATGACGACGGGCAACGGCTCGGTCCGCTTCAACCCGCAGTTCTATACCTCCGGCAAGGCGAGCGCCGCAGGAGAGCTTGGGAGAGCCAGTTATTCTCTGGTTATGTCAAAATAGCTATTGAAAAGGGCCATAGAAATAGTGGATTTTCCCATTAAAAATGATGATTTATGGCCATTTATAGTGGATATTCCCATTAAAAATTGTGATTTATGGCCATTTATAGTTGATTTTCCCATTAAAAATGGTGATTTATGGCCATTTATAGTGGATTTTCCCATTAAAAATGGTGATTTATGGCCATTTATAGTGGATTTTCCCATTAAAAATGGTGATTTATGGCCATAGAAATAGTGGATTTTCCCATTAAAAATTGTGATTTATGGCCATTTATAGTGGATTTTCCCATTAAAAATGGTGATTTATGGCCATTTATAGTGGATTTTCCCATTAAAAATTGTGATTTATGGCCATTTATAGTGGATTTTCCCATTAAAAATGGTGATTTATGGCCATTTATAGTGGATTTTCCCATTAAAAATTGTGATTTATAGCCATTTATAGTGGATTTTCCCATTAAAAATGGTGATTTATGGCCATTTATAGTGGATATTCCCATTAAAAATGGTGATTTATGGCCATAGAAATAGTGGATTTTCCCATTAAGAATGGTGATTTATGGCAATTTATAGTGGATTTTCCATTAAAAATTGTGATTTATGGCCATTTATAGTGGATTTTCCCATTAAAAATGGTGATTTATGGCCATAGAAATAGTGGATTTCCCCATTAAAAATTGTGATTTATGGCAATTTATAGTTGATTTTCCCATTAAAAATTGTGATTTATGTCCATTTATAGTGGATATTCCCATTAAAAATTGTGATTTATGGCCATTTATGGTGGATTTTCCCATTAAAAATGGTGATTTATGGCCATTTATAGTGGATTTTCCCATTAAAAACGGTGATTTATGGCCATTTATATAGTGGATTTTCCTGTTAAAAATTGTGATTTATGGCAATTTATAGTGGATATTCCCATGAAAAATTGTGATTTATGGCCATTTATAGTTGATTTTCCCATTAAAAACGGTGATTTTCCATAGGTATGTAAACGTTTACCAGAGGGTAACAGAGCTATGGAAAGGGGCCATTTGTGGTAAATCAACGAACTAAATGGCAATTTTCTATAGCTCTATTAGTTAAAACCAGAGGGTAAGCCAGTTACTGTCCATTTTTCTACTTTCAAGGATCATCTCAGGAATCAAGCATGGTTCATAGGGGTGTAAGCGCGGTTGGTAGCTGATCCACTTGGCTGCGTCAACCAGTGAATGTTAGGTGAATAGAATATATGGATATAATGCTCATGGTTTTTATTGTGATTCATGATTCATAGCCACATGTATTAAAAAGTTTCGTTTCATAAGCGAGTCATTTTCTTGTTCTGGTTGGGATCCCCACCAGTTCCAATCATCCGAGGATGACTGGGGCTGGAAAATTGTGAGCCACTGAGTCGTGAAATCTCCGAAGATTCTGTGTAAATCCGGTAGCCGGTCCGGGTAGCTGGTGGGTTGACGACTGGAGGGTTGGCTTCCCCATGACGTCAGGTGTGCCTGTCAATTTTGAACACTTGGCCGGGCCCAGGTGGATGGTGGCAGCGTTTGAGGGGACGGTGCAAGATGCTCCATATGGGTTAATATGGGTTGATATGGTCCAAATATAGGTTAAAATGTAACAAATATTCTAATAGTCAATTAATGGTGAATCCATGATGTTTTGCAGACCTCGAATGGGCCGGAAATTCTTTTGGTCCAGCCTCGTGACTGAAAAAGTTCTGGAAGGATCCACTTGTTTTTTTCCCTCCCCACGTTGGATTTCAAGATGCTTTTGATGTTATTTGTTCAGAACATGTTTCAGAAAAGTCCATGGCAGTGAGGTTGGAACCCCGCCTTCAGTTTGAGGGTGGTCTTATTGCAGCTACAGGCGCTGATGAGACTTGGATGAATATCCGGAGCCCAGCTGGTGATGAAAGACATGGTCACAGGAACCCCAAAGAAAAATGGAAACATGTTTCTTTTAGATGATATGTCTTATGATATGTATTGATGTGTTACCTCATATTTACAGCTTCCCAACTGTTCTATCATTTTGGTGTGTTTCTATACGACATGTTGAAACCAACAAAGCGATCCGTGGGATGATCCTCCAAGTACTGCCCGGACCTTCATCTATGCCATGTTCATTCTTGGGACCCTGGGAAAGCCCGAGGAACAAACATCCAGCCCTCAATGAGCCTGGCGTGATGATCATGAACAACCCCGAGGAAGCTTGGTCAGGCACGAGAGGCATGGGATTTTTCTATCATTTTAAATGGTTTTAGATGGGTTTATAGGGACAACAATTGGATATCAATTGGGATTTACCCTCTGGTAGCATCATTGGGGATGCAACCTGTATGATGTCAACAAGTGGATAGAATCCACGCAAACATGAGAAAGGGATCATTAACGGAAGCCGTAAAAGATCCTCCAGTTACTCCAGTTGATAAAACATGATCGAAACGTCTAGCTGCTGAAAAGTGCTCAGCTGCTCAACCCCTTTGTTCTTTCCTGATCTCATGGATTCTATCCTCATGATTGCTCTGTTTCATGCCTATCGCAGCTATCGCATCCCTGTGCCGTTTCTTGGTAAATTCTGGAAGTCGCCCATCATCCCAAATTTAAGGCTGGAATTCCAAGCCACGCGCATATCCCATGCATCACGCTCTGGTAGCATCACCATGACTCCAGATAGGATTGGATGGGATAGATGCCACTACAATATCATTAATACATATTAGTACATATTAATACCTATTAATACCTATTAATACTATACATCTCCATATATATATATTGTCAGTCACATACATATTCTTAATACATATTAATACAGCATATCTCCATATGATTAATTCAGTACCTCTCCATCTTTTCCCAATATTGATCAACGTAGTTACATCTCCATATTATGTTTCTACAGTGTAGATACATATCTCCATAATCCATAATCCATATATTTTACCATTATTCAATATACAATCATATTGCAAAAACATGGTAAAATATTATATATATCCAATATATATCCAATATTATCCGATATTATTCCATATATTTTTCCATATATTTTATCCATATGTTATCCATATTTTCCATATATTTTCCCATCTTTTCCCATCGTTTTTCAAGGACTACAACGCCTTCCTCCGCCATGAGACGCTCCGCGTGGCCGTGCTGCAACTCTTCGACGAGGCCGAGGAGCGCCTCGCCGAGGCCGAGGCGGCCGCGGCTGCCGAGGCGCGGCAGCGGAAACACCCAAAAAGTGCCGGGGGTTTCCATGGAAAAAGGATGAAAAAGGTGGATTTCGCCTGAAAATACAATGGAAAATCATGGAAAAAAATTGATGTTGCCTGGAAAAACTTGGGGAAAATGATGGAAGTTACATATGACTTACGCATGAGGAAATGGTGTTCAGAAAGAATTGTGATTTTTGATGGATTCAAGATGATTCAACCGGAAATGTTGGATGAAGGTCAGGTATAAGTCGCAAAACAATTTTCAAGGGAAGGAACAACACTCACTCAAAGAAACGAAAAACCATGGAATTCTCAATGAGAAGAAAAAGGATCAGGGTTGTCTGAAAATAAAGTACACCCCCAAAATAAAATAGTTTATCATGATGTTCCCCTTAGAAATTGTTATTTTCGATTTTCAGACACACCTTTTTTTGGACCCTAACGCGGGCTGTCCTTTTCTTCCAGCTCACCATTTGTCGGCGTTCCTTCTTGGGTTCAGTGCCTTAGCTCAAAAAAATTAGGTTGCGATTAGGAAATATACTTGGAGAATGAATCTCGGCAAACCAAACCCTGAATTTTTCATCACCCATGGCAGCAAGCTAGTTCAATCCATATGTTTGAGTAGTGGAATCCCCATTTATATGGATTACCCTCTGGCAATGACTAACATAGCTATTGAAAATGGCCATAGAAATAGTGGATTTTCCCATTAAAAATGATGATTTTCCATAGTTATGTAAACGTTTACCAGAGGGTATATGGATGAAATTTCCCCTGCACAACTGAATTCGCCAGGTTTTCTGACTTATCATCATCATAAACTCAACAGATTCAAGAGTGTGTATGATTGTGTGATGTGTGATGGTTTGTTTGTTTGAACATGTTTGTTTTAACCTTTTGCAATTTACAACAAACACAAAACCACCTTTTGGTCGAGTGGCGGAGTGGGCGCCTAAAACAACTTTCCAGAGACATGGAGTTTGCCTTGAGATCTTTCAAGGCACCATCTGGTTATGACTAACATAGCCATGGAAAATCACCATGCTATTAATGGGTGAATCCACTATTTTTATGGCCATTTTCAATAGCTTTTTGTAACAAATTACCAGAGGGCAACTCCACATATGTCTAAACTCCACAGGAAAAAGTTCCAAGCATTCGCTTAGATCTTTGTGCCGAGCTGGAAAAAAGGACACACAAAAAAAAAAAACACAACGATCGAGACGTGATGTTCAAGAACTTATCAACTTCGCCATCACCAACTTCAGCAATAGTCTGGCGTGGCTTGAGATGAAGGTTGGCTGCTTCTGGAGAAACGGCTGCTTCAATGAACCCCATTGAATTGGTTCCCGAAACGTCCATATTTCTATTGGTTAAATCCCAATTTTCTCTTTGCAAAAGCATACGTAAGTTTCGCGCCCACTTCGTCTGCATCCATGTTTGTTGGTTCAATCTGAATATTTATCCAACTTAGCTATCATAAATCAGCTATAAATCCCAGAAGAAAAAAAAAAACATTTTTTCTTGGATTGAATCACCATTTTCCCTGGTACCTCCGTTGTTTCGGCCAATGAGAGGAATCTGGAGCTGCGGCTCTTTCGAAAGCTCCTGGCAGCACTCACCTGGACATGCCTTTGGAGCCTGGGTTGCAGGTGCTGTTACCAATAATCAGAGATATAATGGGATATCAGATGGGAATCAAAAATGGAATACTAAATATTGATTTCTACTTCATAACAGTATGGGGAGCATCAGCAATAATAATAGGAAATAATCGGAGAATGTGGAGATATCATTGGATACTAATCGCATTGTTTATTGACATTTATTGTCGACATTTATGGAAAGAGATATGGAGGGATAAATCAGGAGATATCTTATATTTCTATATGGGTGTATGGATATCAATAAATATGTAATTACCAATAACTCGTTTTACCCAAAAGTATGGAGGTATATCAATGGGATACGATATGGTGATATAATGGGATATAACTGTAATTGGGCATGCAATGATATTAATTTATGGAATATCAATATCCCCATATTATCTCCGTATTAGCATTAGCGTGAATAATAGGATAATATGGAAATAAAATCGAACATGAATGGTATGCATCAGCAACTTTATGTGACATAGGTGTCGAAAAGCAAGATAAAGCCATACTTTACTGAAGCACTAGTACCCTCTGGTAAACAAACATAGCTATTGAAAATGGCCATTTATAGTCGATTTACCCATTAGAAATGGTGATGTTCCACAGTTATGTTAGTTTACCAAAGGGTAAATGTTGAATGGACTAGCCGACTAGCCATTAAAGATAGAGATTTCATCACCGTTTGGTATATGGATGTAATAGGTGAGGGATATAAATGGGGACACAATAGGATGATACATGCAATTTGATTGATATGATATGTGGGTGTTTGAGAATTGGGTACCCCCAAATAGCCATATTTATAGGAAAATGACGAAATTTTACAATGGGACTTTGGGGGGGGTACCCTATTGCGATATGCTCTGTCTGACGCACTTTGAGCCTGATCAAAGTGATGTGAGCCTGATCCCCAGTGTTTGCCCCAGTCTTGAGGCTGTCCCCACTTTGATGAGCTTCAACATGGTACCCTCTGGTAATTTAACATAGCTATTGAAAATGGCCATTTATAGTGAGTTTTCCCATTAAAAATGGTGATTTTCCATAGCTATGTTAGTTTACCAGAGGGTAATCCAGGAATTCATGAAGTATAGGGCACTTGCTTCATCAAAACTGTGCATTTCGCTGTAGTGGGCAGCCTATTTTTAGAAGAAACCCAGATTTGAATTGAATGTGACATTTTAACTCCATGATTTGGAAGATTACTTTCCTACTGCCGCCTAGTGCGTCCGAAAGCGCATGTTTTTTGAGGGGCTCCATTTGATTTCTTCTTGATGGGTTGTAGCCATACACTGTGATTTGCGTGGAATTTTGGGGATGAGATGGGTTTTGCATTTATCGTTTACAAGTTAAGCACGCGGCAGGGATCAACAAGAAAACATGATAGAAAAGGGGATTCAACCACCCTATGATGGGAAGCATTTCTGATAGAACCCGGAAAATGTTGGTCCTGGGATGATTTCAAGGAAAATCTATGGGGAAACCTGTTTCTTTGATCAGAGATGGCAGTTTCGTATATTTTTCCTGAAATCAATCCAGTGATTTCTTCAACCAACAGATGGTGAAGCCCGGAAAACACCTCCGCAGAAATTTGCTGGCAAAGATGGAGATGCTGGCAATATCTTCATGGAATATCAGCATATGATCCCTTGGCCACATGGTATACCATCTGGTTATTTAACCACTAGGAAAATGGTTTTTTCTATGGTTAACAATGGTGAATTTCATGGGATGATATGGCATATTACCGCCATTGTATCCTCCTCAAAGAGGTTCATGTTACCATTAGAATTTTCCAACGGGGTTATTGTAATGGGAAAATTCTAATAACAATTGGCAATAACCATTGGAAAAGGTGATGGGAAAATTGAAAATGATGAATATAATTTTCCCATGTTGCCCTCTGGTTATGACTAACAGTTCGCCATGGTTATTACGATGGCCCTAATTGAAATAGATGGTTTACCGAACTTAATAGCATGGTGGATCTTTCCATGGCGAACTGTTAGTCATAACCAGATGGTAAATCGTTAGTAGTTGATCACTTTTCGGGGCAAACATCCTCAATCAACGGGTCATGCCAGGTATGGCTAGAGATCGATCAGTCGTCATTGCGTGGGCACAAAAAAATGGGACTATTTGATAGTAAAAAATGCGCAAGGCATCTAAAGGCTGTGGTTTCTTTTGCCCCAAATTCACAGCCATCCTTCCACTCATGATGTAACTATCCCCGATCACAAGTGCCAAGCAATTTGGTAGTTGGAGAGACAACTTTTGTATATTCAAAGTAATTGGATGGTCACCTAAGGGCTCAAGAGTCAACTACTGTACTTGCTACCCACCCATGTGTGATCATGTGTGCAACCATTGTTGAGTAATAATTTGAGGTGCCCTTCCAGAAGTGACATGTCAACAACTTGGACCGCTTTTGCGATCCATATTGTCACAATTGTCACAATTCCCATAATTTGGCTTACCCAAAATCTGGTTGCATCCCACATCCATTTGGCCAACAAACGATCGATACCACTCTTGAAAAAGAAAATGACCATGCCTCGAAAAACCAAAGTTCAAACATCCATTGACAAATCCCAATGGAAAAAAAACAACATGTTCATTGAAAAAACAAGTGGTATGATTGTCTTATGGCTATTTCATGGATGTGTTCGACCTAAAAAACCATCGATAAAAAGATTGGTATCTCTGCTGAGGAGATGGCGAAAGAGGTGGTGGCCAAAGTGAAGAAGGAGGCAGCCAACTTGGCGCCTTGGGTTCCAAAACGATGGAATTAATTGGAGGCTTCCAAAAGGAGAAAAGATGTGTGTATATTACATAATATGTTGGGTGTGTATATGTATATGTTGATAGATATTGATAGATATTTGGATATGGATAGATATATGGATAGATATGGTAGATGTGGATGTTGGACAAAGATTGGCCAGATTTGCCATAATGTACTGTGCGCCAACTACCTGGTGGGAGAGCTTCCTGAGCAGCAGCTGGCAGAGCAGCACCACCAGTAGATCATTTGATCATGTGGATGGTGCCTATATGTACAACTATCAAGATGTAAATGCCTAATTGTGATATGAATATACATATATATATAGGCATATCGATATGGTATTTCTGTTCATCTCTGAAGTGTAGATGTCTTCTTGGAAGTGTAGAAAGATGACCAGCACCGGGACAAGGTCAGCTGACAGCTGGATGCTAGTTTGGTACTTCAATGGTGGCGAAACATGGTGATATACATATATAATCATGTATATTTATATTTATATCTATATTTATATATATATATGTATATATATATACATATATATACAGTGTGTATATATATATATATGTATATAGTGTATATACATATATTATATATGTATGTAATCTATATACATATACATATGTGCAAGGTATATATACACACCAGCGATTGATTATTTTTTTGCAAAGTATCCAAGCCTGGCCATGTGATCGGAAGCAAAGGGCTGGGCCATTCAAAAATACCGCAGCGATGGTTGGGTATGACATGTGGGTTTAATTCTTTGCGGTTTGTAATGCGGATTGGGAATTAAGCCTCAAAGAAAATATCTATTCATCAAGTACACTTGCAGTATTTGATGATGGGAACTTACTGCTTATGACTGTAGGTATTGTACCATGAATATCTTTTCATGGGGCGGATCGTTTTCATGGCTTGGGAGTTCATCAGTTCCCAAGATCCATGGTGGAATCATGGTGGGACTCCATGGGGTCACCTCAGTTGGCAGGGCCATTTTAGCCATCGACAAAGACCCAAATCTCGCCATTTGAGTGATATCTCCCACATTCCTGATGGAATTATTGTCGGCCCAGACCCAGTTTCCATCATTTAAGTCCACAGTGTTTGTTCGTGAAAGTCTGTTTCAATCCCCGTGTTCTATGGTGAAATTATATCGGCTCCATAAATGTCCCTTTTTTCAGTGCTTACAATCATTAGAATCACTACCAAAAAAACTGATCAAATCGAGTTAACTTCCAAAAACAAAACTCCCAAAAATCCTCCCCAGACCCATTTTTGTTGGCCTTCAAAAACCACAACAAACATAGCCAATTTCTCGCCCTCGGCATCCCAGGAGGCGCGGTGTCGCAGCTGCACCGCCAGCACCCCTGACGGCTTCCCGCTCGCCGGCGTGCCGCGCGGCGTCCGCGCGGAGTACGCCGCGCTGGCGCAGCGCTTCCGCGCGCTCCACGCGGCGGAGGCTACGGCGGAGGTGGCAGGCACGGCGGCTGCAAAGGTGGCCCCTATGGAAGCATGATTGAACCTCTGGTAAACTGACATAGCTATTGAAAATGATCATTTATAGTTGATTTTTCATAGCTATGTTAGTGTCCCAGAGGGTATGGGGATTTTGTTTGGGACTTATGAGGATTTGATCGTTTTTTAACTTGGGATAGAATTGGAAAATGTGCTGGCCTCACGAATCGGATCCGTGGTTTATAAATGTTTATAATCCATATGTAAGCCATATCACCCCATATGTAAATGAGGATATTCATGGATATTCCATATTTAACTGGGTTTATTGACCCATTTACCAAGTGGGATGCCCGCCCAAGAACGAGCGACTAACCAAACATGGCTAGCTTGAAAATCCATGTTTATAGATGATTCTCCCAGCTAGAAACCACAATTTAAAGGACAGTTCCCATTGCCACGTTTAAACACCGGAGAGCAGTTCAACAATCACGAGGATATAGTAGAGTAGGTAAATCATGGGGGTGTGACTGCGGATACTGCGGATGTAATGGGATGATAGAATCAGTTTTGTTCTATAGTCGGGTGTGGAGGATATCCCCAACTGGCAATTTTGTGTTGGGGAAACGAGAATCAACCAATAGATCTAGGGGTATTTTCAGACCAACCCGTATGGGTTAATACGGGAGGATCTACAGGTATTATAATATAGATGTAGCGATTCTAAGTGGTGTCTATTGTATTCCGAGTATAGATGCAGAAACGTAGATATAGTCAGAGGCAAATGGATAATTCATGTAGATATGCCGTTCCATTTGCCAATTGCATGGTGTTTGGATTGTTTTGGACGACCCAAGATGATTCCAATGGTAAATCCACCCAGAAAAATGCCAAGTGTCCCAGCAGTAAAGTCATCTTCCAAAACTATTGTTCATGTTTTTTTGCATGGTTCCATCCTTCCTAGAATTGGATTTTCAACGAAAATCTGCAAGAAAACAAACAGCCCTTAATTAATTTTGGGAAAAGAAAACACCATGCTTTCACCATCATAGATGTCCTTTTCCCATTGGTTGGTTGATTAATAGAAGGGTTTGAAGAAACCCCTTTAACAACAGGTTTCTATGATGATAGATGGTATAGCAAACCGGCCCCTCTATTTTTACCAAAAGGACATTATTGTTCATCATGGTTTCCTGTCGAAGCAATGAAACCGTGGAATCTTGCCAGGTGAGGAGGAGGAAGCGCCCGAATGCCGCATTTGCGGTGGTGGCGCCGAGGAGCGATGGGGGCGGGGCATCGTTTTTTGGGCAGTTTACTCCCCTGGCAATGTGAAAAATGGGGAAAATGATGATGAACCCAATGGGAATTTGAGAATAGCCATGGATAGCCTATTTTTCAGAGAAAGCCATATGTTGTTTTCCGGTTCCTGGCTTTTGTGGCTTTTGTGGCTTTGGGATTCTTGGCTATTGTGACTTTTGTTTTCTTGGTTTCTTGGTGTGTGTTGCTTTTGGCTTTTTGGCCTTCTGCGTTTTATGTTTTCTTTGCAGTATGCTGCAACTATTGTGCAGACAACACGTAAGACATCAATCAGAAAGAATGAAGGAACAATGATCATATTGAATAAGAAAGGCAAGATCCAACAATCGAATTTGTAGGAACAATTTAAGAACATCCAATGAAACTATTTACAACGCAGTTGTGCCTCAATTCTCCCTTATTTTTTTGCCCGTTGTGAGGACGGAGAACTTCTTCAACCCTGCGGTGGTTGGCTCGGGGGAGTGGGATGTGGGATGTTTTTGCATCCATCCGGGTTGGTTTGTGTGGAATTCTTAGTAAGGAAGCCATCCATCCAAGCTGTATGGTGGGTACCCTCTGGTAATGACTAACATAGCTATTGAAAATTGCCATTTATAGTTGATTTATCCATTAGAAATGGTGCTTTTCCATAGTTATGTTAGTTTACCAGAGGGTAGACCAACTGAATTCAATTGAAGGTTGCTTTTTGTTGCTACTTTGAGATGTAGATCTTCTTGAAAACCGGTGCTGTGAAATCTATTTTTGTTCGGCCGAGTATTCAAGATTGACCATGTAACTGGGGACATTCCAATATAACGTGTGAAGTAACATGGGGTTATTACCCATTAGCTGGGATGCACACTCACCTAGTGTGAGAGACATCTGAGTGGGATTTCTATGGGATTTCTATGGGATTTCTAGCACAATCTCGCACAAGATGTATGAGTTGCTGATATTGGTTGCTGTGGGATCCATGGATTTTGCTGATCCAAGTAGTTGGAGCTGAGGATAAACCACTGAACCACTGGGCTACTCTATTTTTTCGAGAAGCCTGTATTTTCCAATGCTACCAGTTGTATGTGTACTTGTATATGTATATATGTATATGTATATGTACATGTGTATGTATAATGTATATGTATTTTAGATATGTATATATATATACATATACATGTATGTGTATATGTATATCTATACACCAGATCTCTCCGACGATGTGCCGAGGTTGCAGCGGGAGCATCGCCAATGTGCATCGTGTTTTGGTGCAAGAAGACCATGCCCAGCATCGCTAGTAAAATGTGATAAGCTTTAAGTGGTAAACGTGGGATTTAGTGGAAAATAGTAGGGATGTAATGGGAAATACTAGGGATTTAGTGGGAAATGCTAGGGGTTTAATGGAAAATAGTAGGGTTTTAATGCAAAATAGGGAAGTACTAGGGTTTTAATGGAATTTCATGGGAAACAACCGGGATAGAATGGGATTTAATGGGGATCGTAAAGGGGAATTTGGAATTTCACCAACAAAAACAAGGATTTTGCACTGGTTGTACATTGGTTTTTTTTATGGAATATCCCAGACAGCGCAACCATGAAATTGAGGTCATGTTAAATCATCCTAAGTAGGGGACCCAAGAATAAAGCCATATTGGGGATGGTTGACTATTGGCTCTTCCACATTCGCTAACGTCAGTGGTTCGATGTGGCTCGTAACAGCTGGTCATGCCAGAATTGATGGTGGTTTGTAGGCCCCAACTGGGATGATCCAACTGTAGATGCTAGCTGCTAGATGTGAAAAACACCACTATATCAACCATCTTAAGTGATACCCAAAAAGACAAAACGATGGGAAGGTAACCGATCATCAAAGGGCTGGGATTTTTTTTTGGAGAGGGTTCCTGTAGTTGAAAACACTAAGATCGAGAATTAACGGAGGGATGAAGGGAAAGTCTATGGTAAAAAACCCTGGTGCTAAAGACCCTGGGAACTCCAGTGGACTTTCCTGTTGGCAGGCCAAGCCACAGGCCACAGGCCATTTTTTTGCTTCAAGTGCCATGTCTCGAACAGTCTCGGGGGTGCAGGGAGCGCGCCTCCACGGCGGCAAAGCGCCGCCGTTGGAGCCGCCACACCAAGGCTCCAAGGATGGCTCGGCCATGGATGCCCCAAACTGGGCCGTTCCTCCGAATCCTCCGACTCGGAAACTAGGAACAGAATATCAAATATACATATACATAATATATGTGTTCCCCACATTGGCGTGTGGGGTTTTTGTTTTTCCCCACCTGCCAGGTGAGGGTTGTTAGATTTTTATGTCAGTTGCCTGCTCCTCCTCTCCTCTCCTCTCCTCCTCATCTCCTCTCCTCCTCCTCCTCCTCGTCGTCCTCCTCCTCGTCGTCCTCCTCGTCGTCCTCCTCGTCCTCCTCGTCCAACTGCGACCCGCGATCCACAGTGTTCTCTGTCGGACCTCAACCACGACCATCCATGCTCAGTGTTCCCTGCCGGACCTCAACCACGACCATCACCGCCCAGTGTTCCCTGCCGGACCTCAACCGCGAGTATCCACGCCCAGTGTTCCCTGCCGGACCTCAACCACGACCATCCCCGCCCAATGTTCCCTGCCGGACCTCAACCACGACCATCCACGCCCAGTGTTCCCTGCCGGACCTCAACCACGACCATCCACGCCCAGTGTTCCCTGCCGGACCTCATGTAGGAAGATATGTCAGATAGAGTGCCAGAAGATTTGCCAGGTAGAATGCCAGAAAATATGCCAGAAGATATGCCAGAAAGATATGCCAGAAGATATGCCAGAAGATATGCCAGAAGAATTAGAATGCCAGATAGAATGCCAGAAGATATGCCAGATAGATGCCAGAAGAATGCCAGATAGAATGCCAGAAGATATGTCAGATAGAATGCCAGAAGATATGCCAGATAGAATGCCAGAAGATTTGCCAGATAGAATGCCAGAAGATATGCCAGATAGAATGCCAAATAGAATGTCAGAAGATATGTCAGATAGAATGGAAGATGTGCCAGTAAGAACATGTATAAATGTCATGGTGGGGATCACACGAAGTAAAGTAATTAGTTCTGTATCCGCGCCTCCTCCTTCCCGTCCTCCTCCTTCACTCACTCACTCACTCACTCACTCACTCACTCACTCACTCACTCACTCACCTCACTCACTCACCTCACTCACTCCACTCACTCCACTCACTCCACTCACTCCACTCACTCCACTCACTCCACTCACTCCACTCACTCCACTCACTCCACTCACTCACTCACTCACCCACTCACTCACTCCATCACTCCACTCACTCCACTCACTCCACTCACTCCACTCACTCCACTCACTCCACTCACTCCACTCACTCCACTCACTCCACTCACTCCACTCACTCCACTCACTCCACTCACTTTCCCTCAC